GGTAATGCGTCGGCTGCTCAGAGAGAGTACCAGAATCGGTATTCTGATCGCAGCACCCACAGTACTCAGGTGTTTACTAGAGTGCATCAACATTTGCTAGAAACAGGATGGGTTGAGAAGAAGAAGAAAGAAGTAGGACCTGTGCATGATGTTGCAGCTGAAGGAAGAGAGCGTGATTCAGAAAGTTATCGATAATCCTACTACTAGTGTTAGGCAGCTTGCCCTTGAAACTACTAGTAGTATGTCCCGGTGGAAAGTATGTAAAGTGTTAAAGGACAATCAAATCAAATCAAATCAAATAATTTATTCAGCCAGAATTAACAATATACAATTTGTATTGGCTAAGTCAAAATCAAACAAAAGCTGGATTCATATACTCAAGAACTATTTACAAATATTACAATTACATATTACATATTTATTACATATTACATATTTACAAATATGATGCAATAACTTCCATCCGTATCATTTTGCAAGGGTCCAAGGATTGGAGCCTCGTGACTTCGAATCCAGAAAGGAGTTCTGCCGCTGGCTTCTTCAACGTGATATCTGGGGCGGAGCCCTTTTGACGGATCTGCACCAAACTTCACACACACCATCTTTGAATAATGCTTAATAATGCCTGAAAGTTTCATTACAATCTGTTGAGCGGTGTCTGAGTCCATAGGGTATATAGATACTGATACATAGGCCTACATACATACATAAATGCATATATACATACATACTTCGTCTTCATAGACATAGATTAAATTATTTTATTTTGAAAACTGTCTTTAGTTAAATACATATATACCCATCCTAAATAACTGCAAAAACTCTTTATAGTCTTAAATAATTCGTCAAAGTATTGACTGTTATTTTAGCAATGGAATACTTATTGGAAGTTATTTAAATTTTTAGAATAAAAATTATTTATTTTTTAATAAAAGTCCATGTTTCATTTTAAATTTGTCTGATTTTATTTAGAGATTATTAAAATTAAAGCCAAACATTTACTGAGCAATTTGAGGCCAAAAAGAACTTAGAGACGTATTAACAACCCGATATATAAATCTTTTAATAACAACTTATTTCTAAAAAGGTCAATTTAATATTGTGTTGTGGTTCGTAGCTCGTTTGTAACATGTCCATTTTAATGACCAATAGCTCAAATGAAAGCCCTTACGTCACTGAATATTTTAAGGCTAGAACGAACTGTAAGCGTTAACAAAAACTGGAGATGTAAAAAAAAATAATTTTAAAAAAAATTCAAAGTACCAAATGCTTGTTAGAAGTGTGTGGGGTAGAGTTTTCGTTTGAATATATCTTCAAAACGAAAAGGATGTTTAAAAACAGATTTCAGAATTAAAATAAGCATGAAAATCTAGTTTATTACGGTGTACCACAAAACTATCGTTACATTTAAAATATTTGGTTTATATCCAATATGGCGGCCAAAAAACGCGTTACCTATCGATATGAAGTACAGTACTAATCATTGAATAAATATCAGCAGTGATACCAAGTCAATTTCTCGAAAAATTTTCATAAAATGCACGTGTTATATATATATATATACATATACATACATATATTATAATTGTTTTCAAAGTTTGTCCAATGTTGGGAAAAGTTGCCATTTTAAATAGTGATTTTAGGGGGATTGCCAATGACCAATTTTTTACAACTTTTAGTATGTCACTCTGCACACCCAACACTAAAAATATTCATGATGGGTAGCCTCTGGACCATACAGCAACAATAATAATGGTTTTATTTACCTCTGTCAATATGGTCCTTGCGTAGTTTGTCCCTACTGCAGTTTCGTGATCGTGGAGTTTGTTTGCAAAAATTGGTTTTTCCAATTTTTGACTCGCATTTTCTCTCGAAACCATTTTGTAGAGCTTAAAAAACAAATAATTTAGTATATTGAAGCGTTATTATGCGCCTAATGGTTACAGAGAAAATTCCCAAAAACTGTAAATTTAAAATTCCCATGTTATTCTTATGGAGAATAAGTAAACTGTTGTAGTTTGCTTGTTTATGATACCCTTATATTTTTGTGATCATATTTTGATCAAATTTGGGAAATGCATTCATTTCATACTAAACTATTAATATTTTACAAAAAACACCTTTTTACCCTCCCTGTTGCAGCAAACCTAAGTACTCGTTAAACTAATGTTATTTAAATAAGGAATAAATGTGATATTTTTAAAGAGACATTTTAGTGTAAATCCAATCAGACAAATGGAAATTCGCTTAGTCTGCAGGTTTGCTGCGGCGGGGATATTGTATAGTGTGGTGAAAATATCAATCGTACCACGGGCCGATTCCGAAAGGGTTGATAACAGTTGTGAAAATAGTTGTGTTTGTATCAGAACATATCAATTGTATTTGATATGTTCCAAAAAACGTCAAATGAAGTTGAGAACAGACAGTTGGATTTGAGAAGGCATCAAATAAATTTAATAGCAGTGAATTATATTTAAGAAATAGTCAAATGTATTTGAGAACCTGTGAGTTGATCATGAGATACTAAAAAATTCAGCTAATTTTTTAAACTTTGCAAATTAAAAGTTCTCATTCTGAATTCAAATTAACAATTTCTCAATTCTATATAATAAGTAATTTACTATTCTTACCTAACTACAAGATCAAGAGCTTCCACTGGAGACAAGAATCCCGACCATAGGTTGGGAGCAAGCCTAAAGGGAGCGGCATTTCACCGTGTCACCACTAGAGACGAGAAGCAAGGAGCGTGCCCATACCCGCGGTCGAGAGCACGCCCGAGTTCTCGTGCAAATCTCGCACGATTTTGAAAATATACGTGGGAATGGATGTAAATTTGAAATTGTAATGGAGTTGGAACATTTGTATAGGGATCAGGGTTTTTGAAAAAGTGGCTAAACATGATCCCCATATGTTATTCTTATGGGAAAAACGCCCCAAGTGGCTTCACATTCCTATATTGCACCTACTTTACATTTACACCTGCATGGGTCAATAAATGAAAGAACTAGCTTTTTAAGCTTGATTTTGAAAATATATAGGAATTAAGTGAGGATTAGTAATATTTATAAGGTTGGACAATAGGAATATGTAGGCAAATATCAGGATTTTTTTTAAGTGGGTAAAATATTATCCCCATGTTATTCTTATGGGAAAAAACGCCTAAAGCGTCGTCATATTCCTATATTGCCCCTACTCTTATTCTCCATAAGAATAAAAAGGAAATTTTAAATTGACAATGTTTTTTTTTTATTTGTTACCAATTACAGTACAAAACACTTCTTTCAATATACTAAATTAGTTGTTTTTAAGCTCTACAAAATGCTTTAGGAAGAAGTTAAAAATTTTATGTTTTGAGGGTCAAAAATGATAAAACCCTATTTTTACTCCCTAAAACCCCGTTCCCATGATCCGATAATGCTGGTTCGCAAACTAGTTTTAATAAATGTAGGTTTACACGTTTGTACCAAATTTAATCAAAATCGGATAATTTTCGCTCGAGTTTTCGTGCTAACAGACATACACCGTACTGTGTAGGTACCAGGTGTCCGAAAAAGAACTCCCTAGTTTTAAAATGTATTTATTTATTGTACAATATAAAATTACAATGACCGATACATTATATGAAATGTAATTAAATAAAAGTTTTTTTACCACTAGTACACCTCGATATGCAAACCATTGTAGGTATGCAGATATTAAAGCAATTTTTACTCATATTTATAAATATTTTTTTATTATTTAATACCAAAACTACGCTCAATGTCAAACAGGTGTACCAAAATGTATGCTAACGTACAAAACTAAAACTTAAAAGTATACTCTACAGCACCAAAGGATTATCATTATTAAAAGTGGCAAAAAATATCCCCATGTTATTCTTATGGGAAAAACGCCTAAAGCGTCGTCATATTCCTATATTGCCCCTACTAATAAGTAAACTGTTGCAGTTTGCTTGTTTATGTATATATTTTTATCAAACTTGGCAAATTCATTACTAAGCTTATTGATCAGATAAATTATTACCAATCTATTAATATTTTACTACAAACACACTTTATTAACCTAACTTTAGCAGCAAGCCTAGGTACTCGTTAAACCTAATGTTATTTAAATACTGTAGATTTGACTGAGAATCAAATCAGGTAAATGTAAATTCGCTTAGTCTGCAGGTTTGCTGCGGCGGGGATATATTATATTTCACTATACTAAACGTTTGCGAACAAAAAAATCGGTCCCGGGTCCAGGTCAATATGAGGCCTACGGTAATAGTTTATTTCCTATATGCGAAATTCGCTAAAAGATGTCAAATCACTATGTAACAATTATTATTAGGTACTATTATCAACACCTCACATGTGTTATTACTATTATACATTGGAAAAATATTTAGAAAATACTAAGCTAACTTATCAATTAAAACATGCATGAAAAATCAAAATAAAGAAGGCTTTTTAATAAATTTAGAATGTTTATTCTAAACTTTGTGAAAATTAGGCTGGTGACAATCCACTAGGACATAGACTTAACTTGCTCAGTTTTATAAAATATATTTTACAAATTAGTTGTTATCCTACATTTTTCACACAATGAATTTATCAGGGGGAAATTATTATATAAAATAAAAATATATATTTTACTTATTTAAAGAAATGCTACACTGTGTAAGGCAGTAAAATTTTAATTTATTTATTTGAATATCGTCTCATTGTCAAATTAAAAATCTACTTGAATTTCCTATCTCAACTTATGAATAATTAAAAAAAGAAAACAATAGTTCTAAAAAAACAAAACAATTTCATCTGATTTCATGCCGTTTGTTTCCAACGTTACATAAACTGTTCGATTTGGTTTGTCTAAATATAACACCATTGTGAGCGTGAGCATGAGCAGTAAGTCGGTTAAAAATAAAGCATTAGTGGCCGAGCTACTCTGATCTCGGCTGTTGGAAGGTATGTTTACAAACGTTCGCCGCTAAATACCTATTCAACTTTTTTACTAATTTATTTTTAAGAATTTGTTGTTAATACTCATTAGCTTATATTTATATAGGCTAAGATATGTTTTGTGAAGCTATAGAGTTATAATATGAAAGGTCGTTTGATGTAAGAATTACAAAGTCAATACAAATTAAAAAGAGCATGGAATGTGGATTGTTTTAATTACTTTTATGATTGAAAAAGCAAAGAGAATGTAATAACTGTTTTTATTCATATTCATCATGTTTAACCAATTATTTGACGAGGCAATAATATTTGCTCATATTTATTGTTAATGCTAAGTTATTTTTTTTTAATCAAATTGTTTTATCCCTAAGATTTTTCAAAATTAAGAGATTTGATTAACATACAATTGGAATGCCAGGACTTTCAACTAGCTATATATATATCTTCCTTTTTTAAAGGAGTAATTGCTTATTTGCTTGATGCCTTTAGGAGTCAAATCTTCTTGTTTATTATATGAATTAATAAATATAAATACAATGTGCAGCTATACAAATCTTTACTACTATTGGTAAAATCAATGTTTTTTTTTCTAACATAAAAGTAAGATGAACTTATTTTTTTCATACATTAAATTATATTTTCAGCTTGATTAATAAAGTTTTGTTGTTACTTGGGATTAAAACATATCAGTAAAGAAATACTAAAAAAATTAATTTAATAACATTTTTCAATTATTTATAATTTTTACAAGTATAATTTCATTTTTATCTATAAATCAACGCTTTTTTCATACTTTGAATTTGTAATTAATTTAATTTAATGAGACCCTAACACTACATCAGTACTTATGGGAAACCTGATTAGTTTAAAATGATGGCTAACAAATTAACTGTTTCTAAAATTCAGTTACAGAAACCTTCATAGACATTTACAGCATCAATAATTGTTGTAAGTTGTTGTAATGTAAATTAAATTCATAACAACTTTACAGTATTAGGTATATTATTTGTTATAATATTAGTCTCGACTCTAGAGTAAAGGTCATCATTCAATTCATCATGGGGAAAAATATATAATTATTTGTTAATGAGGAAATTGATATGCATACAAGTAAAAAAAAACACATAAAAACATAGATTGTTTTAAAAGGTTATTTTTTAACTGCTCTTATAAAATGATTGGATTTCAATTCTAACTTAATTTTTGTCTTCAATGTTACCAAACTACAATCTTATAACAAGTTCTAAAACATCAAAGAGAAATAAATCATAGTTACCAATGCTCCATTAATTAATGCTGTTATTAATGCTCCATTGAGCATTAATTATTACCTTTTATGTTTTTACAGTCAATTGGGATTGAATTATTTTATCTATATCCAACCCCTAAGAGAACCAAAGTTTAGTTTTTCATAAGTTAGTTTTAAAGACTCAATTTTTCATCAATAATTATTGTTAAATTTATATTTCAGCAATAGGAGCAGCCATGCCTTTGAAGCATCAGCCAGAGTCACTTAGGAAGTTCTCTTTGCAGACCATCTGTCGGAACTTCAACAAGTTGCTCTACGGAGTCGATGACGACGATAACATGAGGATTCTAATAGATTCTGGGTCATACCTGGAGACAAAAAACCCCCTCATTGATTTACGTGAGTTTTTAACCAATCAAAACTGTACTCAACAACATAATCAATTTTACATTAAAAAATACAATAGAGTCACAATTAATTATGCAACCTATACCGATCGGATAACATGGAAAAACCATTGTATATATGTTAAAAATCATAAAATTAATAACCATTTATCTGTTGTAAAACCAATTTTAGATGTTAGTTTTTTTATTGAAACCTCTAGTTTGATGTCATTTTAAAGTGGTCATCACAAATAACATAAAATAACCTAGGCTACCAAAAAAATCCACTAAAACGGATAAAGTAAAAAAAATACCACTACTTTACATTAAAATATAAGATAAAGTCATATTTCTATACTCAGCCATTTAAGTACAGACAAGAGCAAAAAAGGTTGTTTTGACGTACCGCTACTGTAGTCACAATTTCATGGTACAGTACTAATTAAAATTTGATATAAATAAAAAAACACATTAAGTCAATATAGACAAATACCATTTAGCACAATAAAGTTAGTTTTTCGAAAAATAATGAATATATAGCTCACAACTATCTCTAATATTCTATGCAGTTTTAAAATCATAACAACATTACAGTTCTTATTGTGTGTGGTTGTATCATGCCAATATTTTCCATGGAGAGTAGGCTATTAGAGGCATGGCATGATGGAGGATGGAGAATATATAAAGCTTCTTTGTAAGATTTCAAGATTTCAGTTCCAATATCTAAAATTGTAAAAACCAAACTTTGGTTGGAGGTACCTACTATCAAAAATTAATGATTAAGTGATAATTTTTTGCATTCAAATGACTATTTTTTATAATACCCAATACTCATGTGAAAGAATAAAAATTAATCCGACAAAAGATCTTCAACAATAGTCTTATTGTATTCAAGATCAAAGTAAGGGCTTCTAAGTTTATGAATAAACTCCCCGAGTTAAAATCTCCATTGTAAACTACTCTACCTACACAATTTCATTATATTGTTGTTTGCTTTCTTAACGTTTTTTTTTTTTGTTGAAATAATTAAGTGATTAAGACATTAATACCATACTGTACCTTCATGTCATTAAAAGTTTGTCCATTCTAAATCTGGAATTTAAATAATTATGACTCCTTATAAAATTGGGTTTTAATAATTTCTATCTATATATTCATATTTTGTAATCCACAAATAAGGTACAGGTACAATTATCATTGAATGGTTGGGCAAATAATTTACCAAAGATTATAGCTTTAAACCTTATTGATGGTGAGCTAGCAAGGGAGGTCTTTGAAAATATCTGTTAGCCTATGGAGTCCATTGAACAATGGGAACCTCTACCATGTAAAAGTTAAAGGCTAGTAAGGAGATAATAGTAATAATAGTATTTTATGTCCTCATTACTTCGTTACTGGATTGATAACCATTTCTGATTATTTCTATCTATATTTTGTTGATGTCAACATTGTTGTAACTTGACCAAACTTTCATTGTTCTTTGGTTGAGACAGAGAATTAATATATATTTTATCATACATCTTCCCCCCCTTCTTACAGAATCCTCTTTCTTACAGAGCTTAACATGTATTTTGCTCAAATTCTCCAACCCAAATTATCTCCCTTTGATTGCTGTAAACCTTTAATTTTTTTAGTATAATTGTCATTGATATTTTAAAAGAAATGACACAAGCTGTTTTAAGGGAAAGCAATCCAAACCTCAAATTGTTTGCGGATATGCCCGGGATTGATATTATTATCCCTCTTGCGCCAAAGTATGAGACTTTACTTGACCCAGCAACACACCATGTTGGATTTAAGTTATTGAGGATGCAATAGATCATGATAAAATATTCACAAATAATAGCTTGAATACAATAAGGAACAATATGCCAGTTTTGCACAGCCCCAAACATGCTGGAGGAGCTATCAGAGGAAATGAGGCACCTGACTCATTTGAGATGTCATCATCTGCATATGATGATCACTGAGAACCTGCAGGAGTGGACCACTGGGGGCATAGCTGACCAGATGATGGCATTTCACCTCATCAGCACACGCTGCAAGGTACATTAAAAAAATGTTTATTTTTTATGAGGTTGGCAGCCTATTTCATCCTTGCATTTGTCCATCATCATAGGCCTCAGGCCTGTGCATGGAACCTGCTAAGTTAAGAATAAAGGGGTGAGATGGTACAATAGTTCAAGATTAAACTATACTGATAAAATTTAGTGGAACTGTTTTTCATTTGTTGTATCCATTGTGCTCTTTCCTCTTCCCTAACGATTACAGATAAGTAAGATTTACCAATTTCTTTCCTTACATGATCAAATAAATCTGTTTGCCATTACAACATCTAACTAACCAAAGTAATAGAACAGTTTTATTTCATTAAATTAAAATGTCATCAATTTAACTCATTTACTAGCTGCTTATACGGAACCAATCAAACTCTCTATAAAATCCCTTCTTTACTCATTCAACAAATTCATAAACATACTCCCATACCTTTTCCTAGCGTTTCTGTTACCTTCATTAACCCTTCCCTCCTATTTGTTTTTTCTTTGTAATATTTTAGATCAGAAACATAATACAATTCAGGATCAATAAGCAGCTCATGTGTTAAATGTATATTTTTCAGAAACTAAAGACCCTGAACATGTCCTACGTAAGGCATCTGAACCATAGAGTGTTTATGACCTTGGTTCCAACCCTAACCAACATCGTTAGTCTGGATCTGCGGATGACTTTAACAGTAGACGAGGTAATGTGTGTTTAGTAACATTTACAGAACGTGATTGTACCTAGATAACCTGTAAATGGTTAAGCATCATAATTGTACATCACATACATAGCATAGCCTCTTCTTCAGGGTACTGTATTGTGTTATAAAGTGGAGTTTATTTTATGTATTCCATTGATTTTCTCTAAAAACCAAAGAAACTTTAAAATGATCTATACGTGTTGTTAATTAACTTTAAGATTACCAGACACTAAAATTTGCACTGGTTCCCACAGGCTTGAAATTTTCTACAAAAAAACATCTTCTGTACCTACAGAACAAAACATCTGATAATTGATGTTATCAATTTATTGATTCTGTGCACCTGTCTGATTTGTTTTATTTCCTGTAGAACTGAAAGACATTGACAACGATATGTTTGTGAAAAGTTTTTAACTGATTATGTTATGGTCAATACTTTGTTACATGAATTTAATGAGTTGTGTGTATTATTATTTTTTTTTACCTGGTACTTTAATATTATTTGACGAGTTCATACAAGCACACATGGTCTATAACACAATTTGATGTACACAAGTTTATTTCTTATGACATAGAATCCATATTCATGAAGGTGTATCCAGCCTTAAAAAAATATCTGAAAAATATTGTGAAAATCATGAAAAAGCTCATGATGTCAAAAAAAGATCAATGTTTACTAAGGTAAGCATTTTTTGACAGGTGGTAGATAAGATTGGAGCCTGTTGTAAACAGCTGGTGGATCTCAATCTATCAGGGACTCCCATCACAGACAAAGGCCTAGTCCACCTTTGTCTATCATCGACTGGTGAGCGAAGGAGTCAGAAGTTAGTCCGTCTTTCAGTAGGAGAAACATGGATAAGCGTAGCAGGAGCTACGGTCGTACTGCAGTTCTTACCTAACCTCAGAGAATTTGACTTTGATAACATTTTTGAGGTAGTTTTCTACTTAATTGGGTATGTTAAGTTAAGGACTAGCCTGGGCTAAAAAATATCCCATGTCTTGCATTAACAATAACTGTAATGATTTCTGTCACTAGTTGTTTATAAGAGGTTGTTCAGTTAAGAATATAGTTTAATGGAAGTTTTTAATGATGTCATTTGGCAATATGGTTCAAGATACAGTAAATGGAGTCACCAATAAAAATGTATTACCTTTCACCATATTTATAGTATCCACCATAGTACATAAATATATCCTCTACCATTCCGGTTATCTCCGGGTCTGGGTGTTCACTAGGCCTCTCCATCTTCTTCTGTTCCTCCACAATTCCTCTTCCTATAATTAATTCATTCACCAAAGTATAGGGATTATTTATCACTGAAGTGTTGTTAGATTGTTTCATTTACAATCTCTTGTTAAACATTGTAATTTCTCTAAATACAACTTCTGAGAATATAATTTAAACAGAACACTCGATTACACAGTACAGGAAGGAGGTTACCAGTGGCGGATCCAGGGTTGGACGAGCCGGGCGACCCGGACCTAACAAAACACAGTTCGGGTTGGTTGGTTAGAAGTTTGAGGCCCTTAAAATATATATTTTCAGTCAATGCTACCTACCTATAGTGCCAACTGATCAAATTTTCATGCTGTCAGCTTAGTGCATTGGAAAATACTATAATACGAGGCATGTTTTCAAAGTAAGTACCGTTTTAAGATTTCTCCGTTCCAGCGCTGCAATTGGCATTTTGGACATTTGCGCTGTATATGTGCATCTATTGGCAAGCCCTAGCCGGAAATTCGACAACAATCGGCCGTGTTTACATCCGGTTTCGAGCATTCAAAATGGTGCCGCCAATTGAGACTGCCGCCGACGGTGAAGTGCGCGCTGTAATTCGATTTTTAAGTGCTAAAGGTGTGAAAGCCATTAAAATTTATCGACAGATTAGTGAGGTGTATGGCGAGAACATTATGAGTGACGGAATGGTACGCAAGTGGGTAAGGACATCTAAAGATGGCCCTACCGACGTTCATGATGAGCACCGCACTGGGTACTTGGGACAGTGACGCCGCCCAGTGCGTTGCTTATGATGGACGTTGGTGGGGCTGCTTTAAATGCCCTTACCCACTTGCGTACCATTCCGTCACTCACAATGTTCTCACCAAACACTTCACTAATCTGTCGATAAATTTTAATGGCTTTCACACCTTTAGCACTTAAAAATCTAATTACAGCGCACACTTCACAGTCGGCGGCAGTCTCAATTGGCGGCACCATTTTGAATGCTCGAAACCGGATGTAAACAAGGCCGATTGTTGTCGAATTTCCGGCTAGGGCTTGCCAATAGATGCACATATACAGCGCAAATGTCCAAAATGCCAATCGCAGCGCTGGAACGGAGAAATTTAAAAACGGTACTTACTTAAAAAACATGCCTCGTAGTACACAAATAAGGCCAGTTTTATAAGTTAATCAAACACAGCTAACTAGTTTTAAAAAGCAAAAACAAATGCATTTTTAGGGCAAATTTTTTCAACAAATCCTGGGAGAGGACCCCCAGGTCCCCCCCCCCTTGTGACTGTTCTAGATCCGCCACTGAACCAATCAAACAATATGATGAGTATAATTTCGTTTCTGACTAGCGAAGTCAATTCACATGGATTTTTACTGTCGGCTGATCAAAAGTATTTTACATATTGTCTCCTGTGTGAAATGTATGAGCAGATAATCTTGATAACCTCTTCCATTAATATATGAGTTGAAAGCAAGTCAACCTTATGGGACAGTCCTTCTTCTTGTAAGTCAGCTACATCTGCAAACCCACCATCTAGGTTGTGTCTCGCCTTTAACGTTGTGTATAATTTTTGTACAGGCTATTGAGCAGGTGGATATGTGGGACCAGCAGTCAGAGTTGTGCTTGTTGACTCGTGCTGGAGTGAGAGTATCAGCTACACCAGCAAACCCACCATCTAGGCTGCGTCTAACCTGCCTCAACTCCACAGTAGAGTGTGTGCGGGAGGAGTCAGTTGAAGCGACAGTTCGCTTGTGTCCTGACGCCACCAATGTTGCTATATCCAACTCCTGGCTTCCAAATGAATCTCTTTATAAGGTAATGTTTAAGATTCTGACGAGATCCAACAGAACAGATAATCTTAAAAGATAGTATCTACACTTTTTATAAGGCTTAAGTTATACTGAGATGGTAAAAGAAAGTTTAAACCTCTTAGTAATTCTAGTAGGAGAAATGTCTCTACAGTCAAAGTAAACTGGGAAGTGTCTTGAAACTGACAAAATACCGACTTAACGTTTTGGATGTGTTGCAAGAATCCATCTTCGTGGCAAGCAACGTTGCTTGCCACGAAGATGTGAATTGTACAATTCAATTGAATTGAAACCCTACCGAATAACTTATTACAACACATCCAAAACATCAGTCGACTGTCAACTTAAAACTGGTGTCTTTGCCTGGTATTATAATTATGAATATCTGCACCGGTTACTATTGTTGTTGATTTAAACCTATAATATAATAGAATTTCAATGATATATATCGAAGGTAATGTTAGAATTTGAAAAGATTAAAAAAAAATTCGGCAAGTTGTTATTCTGTACACACTTAAAATAATATGAATGGCTTTTTTTTGCAACCTAACACGCGTAAAAAATTTGATTGTGTCGCAGACCCCCAGAGAATAATTCCGTACCTTAATCTTGACTTTATGAGTGAAAAATAAATTAATCGCATAAGTAGTAAATTTTGATATTTTGAGAATCTATTCATTAAAAATAATTGAGACAATAGCTTGGAACACAGCGCATCAATGTGAGGTGTCCAATAAAAAGTGTTATCAAAAATAAAAATCAATCCTAGATATTTAACTTCTGTTTCTAACGGTAACTCAAATTCGTTCATAAATATTACTGGGCTAGCCTCAGAATTGTTGGCTTTTGAAAAATGTATACAGCTTGATTCGCTTGGATTAATGTGTAAATTATTGCTATTAAAGTATTGATAAAGGTTGGTCAGTTTTACAAAGCTATCAATATCTAGGTTATCTAATGATTTATTTTCAAACAAGAGGGCTAAATTGTCAGCGTACATAGTTATGTTTAAGTTAGGGAAGGTCTTAGTTATACTATTTGTATATAAAATGTACAAAATAGGCCCCAAAACTGAGCCCTGGGGAATTCCAAAATTCACTTCTAGCTTTTTTGAATGTACACAATCGTTAACCTTTACTTTCTGAGTTCTTTGTAGGAGATAAGACTTTATCCAGTCAAGGGGCAGGCCACGGATTCCCAAATTATAAAGCCTCTCAAAAATTACACTGTGGTTCAAGCAATCGAATGCCTTCTAAAAACCAAAAATACCCTGATAGCTTTGTTTTTATTATTTACAGCACTGATTATGTTGGTAATTAAGTCAAGGGATTTAATTAAAATTTTAATGAAGGTGTATTGGTGTACCCTTGTATACCCTATGGGCGTTTACTTTTAATGTGATTTTTCTATGCTACAATCTACTCTATGGGTGGTCTTGGAATACATGAGAAATCTCCATATTATAATATTTCACAGAACTTAACTGTTATTGTACATGTAACTCAAAATATCTTCACCCACTTAAGTGCCCTACTTGTATTTCAGTTGATGGTGTTAGAAAATCTGTCTGCCCTATCCCTCTCCAACAGTGAAGGGTGTACGTTCACATTCCAAGAGGGTGTTCTGCCCGTGCTCTCTGTTTGTGGCAACAAACTGCACAGTCTTATACTGTCTAACTTTCCTGGTATCGACATTGCTGGTAAAATAAACAATTTTCGTTCAGTTTGTCAATTTCAGAGTGTCAAAAAGTTCTGTATAAGGGAAGGATGACTGTTAATTTGATAAAATTTCGTTCCTTCTGTTAGGTATAATCATTTTTCAAGAAAGCTTTTCAGCTGCCATAGCTTTCTTGTAAAATACATCTTACGAGTACTTGTAAGAAAGTAGGTACTTCTTGTATTTTAGTACTACTGATATTTATTAATTTTTTTTTTTTTTTTAAGCATTCAACCAGTTCACCAAGGCTATTGGAAATTGAAAAGTTAGTTTTCAAATACAACATTCATTAAAACATACATTTTCCATACGTAAGGTGCCTACTTAAGTTTATTTGTTATAAACTACCAAACCTGAATGTTTATGAAATTTGGACTCATAAAATAATTGAGTGTGTGTTTTTGTCTCAAACTCAGGTATTGGACGCAGTTGTCCAAACTTACAAAACTTGGCATTTTCAAATGTGCCTGTCTTCTACATGCCATCACAACCCTGCCCTGAGTGGTTCAACAAACTAGAAGCTTTGGAGCTATGGTCGGTCACCAACATTGAGCTCAGTCCGATTCTTATCAAGCAACTCGTCCTCTTCAGCCCGATCATGAGGAATGTCCTGTTCAACAGCTGCAATATCTTGACTGATGCCTTGCTTATGGAGATTATTCAGGTGAGTAATACACTGTTCAAATAATAACATTTTCAATAGAATTATAATTTTTAATATATTAACAATTGTTTAAGTTGAGTTTTTTCCTTGGTCATTTCTATTTCATCCATCAGAGGGTTACACACCTTATAGTGTGCTAGGTTTATATTAATGATAAACTTTTAAAATACCAGATGCCTACTATAAGACTAGTTAAATTTTTAACTATGGAAATTATTCATGACTGAGAAATTAATAAATAAGTCAAGTTGTTTTGAATCTTTTAACTGATTCCGTAGAGTTTTTACTGTCAATCTTACAACCTTTTCAAGGCAAATACTAAAACAAAATGTTTGTTTTTAATCTTTTTATCATTTACGGTGTCTTAAATAAGAGTGTATAAATATATTTAAATGTGTCTTCCAATGATTTTATTTATGTTCACACTTTAAAATATGTTACAAATGGATATTATATTGAGTGGTCACTCAAATCATCATCAGACCCAATCAAAGACTTATATTGATATAAATGTACCAACAAATAAAATTCTAATCAAGAATCTAAATATATAAAAGGCAAAGCCCTCACTGACTGACTCACTCACTCATCACTAATTCTCCCACTTCCCATTTACCTAGGAGGCTGAAATTCGGTACACCAATTCTTTGGGCATTAAATAGGAAAACTAAGTAGTTTTTATTTTGATCGGGCTTTCGGGCTCCGCCGCAGTGGCTCTGGGGTTTCCCATGTTAACCTTATGATTTTTCATATTTAAAAGGAATTAATGAATCTTAAAATGTGTTTCAATTAAACAAGTTGGTTCTGTTATATGATGTACAATAGCACTAAAGTTACAAGGATTACCAACAGGGTGCAGCACTATTATTATTATTTTTTTTTAATTTATGACAACAGCTAATTTGCAACCAAAAGGTGAGTGAGCGTAGCGAACGAACTTCAACCTGGAGGCGAGTTAGCGTAGCGAACGAGCTAACCTGAAGGCAAGTGAGCGCAGCGAATGATCTCAAACCTAAAGGTGAGTGAGCGTAGCGAACGAACTTCAACCAGGACGTGATTGAGCCATGTGAATACTTATGAAGTTAAACGGGGCAAAGCCCGCGGGTACAGCTAGTTTTTATATAAAACTGAACATACAATTTATGATTCTATTTTAAAGTTGTTGAAATATTTCCAAACTGCATTTTATCACCTTGTGTGTTAAAACACAAACTTAGTATTTTTACAAAATATTTTACGTACAAAAATTAGGCTCTCAATAAAGATTTTTTGTTTCAGGCTAACCCTCTGAATAAGTTATCTCACCTGACTATAGACCATTGTCATGGAGTCACTATGGCCACTATTAACACAGTCCTGGATATCAAGAATGAGTTGAATGTTCTCAGGATATGGAGTTGTGCAGGAATCACACGAACCAACAGTGAAGAGATCTCTCGTCGGATCACTGACGAAAACCTCGATATCTACTTTGAATGGTTTCAGTTCACTTGAACTGATAACTAATATTTTCTATGAGCATTTGGATTATCAATTTTTACTGTGGAATCTATGTTGTAATAATACAACAACAGTATTGTGTATTGTGTACACGAGAAGAATGGTTTCTTACATAATTTTCCAATAATAACACTATAAGGGGAGAAATCAAATATTGTAGACGTTACAATAGATGTTGCACTTGAATGGTCACATTTCAATTTAATATGGCGACTCTCACATTATTGAGATGAAATATTGTTTAACAATAATGTCGCATGGTATGTCAATAAAATACTGTATAAAGTTATAAATTTAGATTTGATTTGATCAATACGAACCTATCACCTTATCCTCATTTTAACCAACCTTATCAATGTACAGAAATTAGTTATGATATGAAATTTGAAAGTATTTTTACTTCACTTTATATTTCCAACAGCTCTTTACCATGAAGATGTGGTATATTAAAAATATGGGTGATTAAAATTATACTGTTTACTAATTTTATCTAACGATTTTGTATTTACTAATTATACTCAGAATAATGGAATTATATCCATAAAAATATTCTCAATACAATAATTTACTTTATAAGTGACAGTCATTCTTTTGAATTCTTCTTCTATAAATCACAACTGTCCCTCAGGTATTCTTGAGTCAACTCCACCTGAAAGAAAAATGCAATTGAACAAATAAAAATATTTTTGTTACTAAACCAAGCACACTATAATGATAAATCTATAGGTTTTTTAACACTAGAATATAAATAATAATGAAAAATTCAATATCACTGTATGAAAACCACCCAAGTCAAAAAATTATCAAACTTTCAATTTAACAATTTAACTGTGCGCTTTTAGCCAATAAAGAAAAAAATTAAGTGTTTGTTGTTTACATGTAATTTTATCAAGTGAAGTGCAAACAATAAGTCAGTCAACTCTGACAGACACACCCCAACACTTCAAGCTTTGTATTGCTGGGTTAGTGTAAAAGTAGTAGAATAGGGTGAGATGAGTAAGATCAGCTGTTTTTTTGAGCTGAGGCCATTTATTTAAAGCCCAATGATCAAGGGTAGCTGGGTCCATTCAAACCGCCAAAAAGGTACTAACTCTTTCAGGATCAAACAGGCAATCTTCAAAATACTTGTTTACCTTTTCAGTGCTAAGCGATGATATATTGTTGTGCGCCTTTTTCCCCAAAATTGCTATTAAACGATATATTGTTGTTCACGTTTCATCCGAAAAGCACTGAGCAACGATATATTGTGCCGGCACGACTTTCGATCATGTGAGTTTAAATGGGCATAGCAGTTGACTCGGTTGTTGTTTCGAACAGCGTTTCTTTCAATTTCCCATACGATCGAGGGCCGATATATTGTTCCTTAGCACTTTTGAGATGAAATATTTTATTTTTACAGATTTTTTCTCGCTCATTAGATTTTTCCCCTTTGGCAAGCCTAGCACTTTTTGGACAAAATAAGTAAATAACTCTAGCATTTTTTTGAAAAATATACTACAACAACATTTTAGCATCGAAAGGGTTAAGAACCTAATCAACTCAGCTACCGAGTATCTTTATCCTTTGTACATTCATTCATATTCACCTTTTTCTTCTTTAAGTAAGATGATACAAAAACTCTGAGACGTTCCAACTCCTTGACTTCTCGTCGAGGAAGAGTCATTTTGAAGCAGGTTTTACAGTAGATAAATAAAACAACAAAGAAAGACAAAACTATCAACACTTGATGAAATGTCCCTCCATACGCAGTCAAAAGTGATGGTGGAAGAAAGTTTCCAAAGATCTGGAAAACAAAATAATCATGTAAACAATAATATTTGTAAAAATTTGAAAAAGTACATTTGGAATGAAATAATAAGACATCTATTTGAAGTTATAGGAAAAACCATAATGATATGTAACATAAAAATGAAATCTCAACATTGATTCAGCATTGATTATTTTGTTTTTGGATAGTTTGAAGCCATCTAAAAGAAACTTGTTTAATATAAAGTTACACATTGTAAAATGTAAAACTAAATCAAATAGTAAAAACAAGAAGAACGTGTCATATCTAAACATATTAATATTATTTTATGAATTAATATAATCCCTTATCCCTTTGCTATATTTTAAATAGATTGTAGTTTTATTTTAAGTTATATAAGCAGCTTACTGAAATCGTTAGCACAATTGCTTGCTGCACGGACTACTCATTTAAGCAAACTGCTATAAGATGATTTGAATTTAGCTAACGGGGTAATTTAATATTCCAAACTATAAATTTTCCTGTTAAAGAGGACAGCTAGTCTTTCTGCTGAAATATTTTATTGTTTATCTCTCTTAACAATACCAAAGCAAACTTTAAAAATATAAATATATTTTTCAGATGTCTCAAAACTTTAACCCTTTCCTCTCGTATTAGTTAACCCACAGAGAAGTAATATAAATATTTACTTATAGTTTATATTACTTCTCTGTGGTTAACCCCTTGTTGTCCCATACGCTTGCATTTATTGTAATGAAAAAAAAACATGTTTGGAGTTTTGTGTACATATACTGACTAAAATAAATTATTTTTTGTACTTGAGGGCTTGATTCTTATTCTGCATAAAATTGTACACAATTAAAACATAAAATCAAAATAAATATAACCATAATATATTTTTTGTATGGTCATAATATGAAAAAGGCAAAATTAACTAAAAAAAATATTTTTTGGGGGGCTTTTTAAAAAACGTTAACACATTTTCAGAATTTGTAAAACACTTTATCTACATTAGGCCTACTTATCTAGTTGCCCATTCAAATCAGCCATTACAAGAAGGGTTAAGTAGAATTTTACTGAAAAAATTCATTTTCAAACTTTGATTTTTTGGTGATTTTGGTCGTCATGGTTTATTGTCACTTCTTTATTCTTTACTCCACAGCTGTCTAAATAACTAAATATTTTTCGTACTACCAAAGACAGGTAAAATGAATGAGGAAATCATTGAGTATGTATTCAACACAAGTTCAAAACATGCAAACACTACATAAAATTGATTTATTAATAAAAAACCGATGCTGAAAATGTCGCGTGGGCCGCGACATACGAGTGGAACTGTCAGACATACGAGCGGAAAGGGTTAAAAATATAATAATTGTTCTATATAATACTCTTTGTCGTTCTTCGACTATTACTCAGTTCAAGCAATACTACTGTTTTTTTTTATTTGTAAAAATAATAATTTACTTACTGATAAGTATTCAAAATAGTCTTGGTGGAGATGGAATATCCTGGAAAGGTGTTCAGGGCTGTATATTTCTGTTAAGTATTTTACACTTGTGGTGAAAAGTAGGCCCATGAAGATAAAAACGGCTATCATGGCTGAAAACAGGACAGAAAAGTTACTTTATTAGTTTTCGAGTAAAGTAATATACAGTAAATAATAAGTAGATATGGTATATTTATGAAGATTCAGGATGGCTCTGAAATAATTAGTTGTACAACTCAAGAGACAGAATGTGAAGGCTAAGGACATCTGTACATAGTGCTAAAACTATATAATAACTTAACATCTCTCCCAAAGTGGCATTTGGGTTTTGGCCTTCTACATACAAAGAATAAAATTATTCCGCAGGTATGGCTAGAAAGAAACAAGACCGATGGCAACTAGCCTCAAAGTCAAATATTTCATGGTCAAAATAATCTGATATCCCAGAAAGTGTAATGCCAACAGCTGTGCATAAAAGACCTAGTAACAGTAGTAGTTCTATGCTTATTTGAAAAAATATATTACTTGTAATCAGCATGGTTTTCTTAGAGGCCGCTCCACCATTACTAACCTACTGTCATTTCAAGAATATGTCACATCGGCATTCACTAGTTCGATGCAGGTTGACTGCATATACTTGGATTTTTCCAAGGCTTTTGATAAGGTTCATCATGGTTTGTTGATCGCCAAACTTGCTGGTTATGGTATTAGTGGTCCATTGATCAAATGGTTGGAAAGCTACCTGAAAGATCGTCACTTGATTGTCAAGTGTAGTGGCGCCTTCTCTTCGCCCTTCAATGTTCTCTCCGGTGTTCCTCAGGGCTCTCACCTCGGTCCACTACTTTTTAATATATTTATAAATGACATAATTGGTGTACTGTCGTCGGACTGCTTGATGTTTGCTGATGACCTCAAGATATTTTCCCAGATCTCGTCATCCTTAGACCACGAACATCTCCAACGATCTCTCACCAACGTCGAAACGTGGTGTAATGAAAATGCAATGGAACTCAATGTATCTAAGTGTCATGTTGTCTCATTCACAAGACTTGTAACTTGTAACACTTTTGACAACAAAATTGGTGGTGGTATTCTGAGACATGAGGACCATGTGAGGGATCTTGGTGTAATACTTACTTCTACCTTGAGTCCTGTTGAGCACATAATTCATATTATCGCAAGAGCTAATTCCATCTTAGGATTCATCCTTAGATCATCAAGAGACTTCAGGTCCCCACAGTCACTTCTGGTGTTATATAAGACCCTAGTTCGGCCAGTTTTGGAGTACGGCTCAACTATCTGGTCACCATATCAGCTTGGCCATATTGAAATGATAAATAAAGTACAGCTACGCTTCCTCCGAGTCTTAGGTGTCTGCCTGGGCTATGAGTATCGTGCCCCACCAATCCTAGAGCTCCAGGAGTGCTTAAACGTCCAACCTCTCCATCTCAGAAGAAAGCTGCTCGACATGATTTTCCTGTTCAAACTGGTTTGTGGTGAGATCGATTCTACCGGCCTACTGGAGGGAATTAATTTCCTTATACCGAGAGGAACACGATCTTTGGATACTTTTGGGCACTTGTATTCACCAACTAACTAATCTCGCAATTGTGGATTGACAAGATTGCAGCGTCATGGAAACGAAGTAGGATCAAAAGTTGACTTCTTCAACGAACAGTTGTCCTCCTTCAGAAGAAAAACCGCTAGCATTATCCTTGCTATGCCTGTTTTGTAGATGATGTATGTTTGTTTTGTCCCAAAATCTGTTATTTCTTGTTATTCATTCATAGATTTATTGTTAGTTAATGTTTCACGTAGAAGTTATTGTCATCATAGTTTAATACATTGTTAAATCTTCAAGAGATATCTGTTGTTGCAATACTTTCAAAGTCTACATGCATTTTCTGAAATCCAAATTAGTATTAAATATTTTTTTGTTATTATCTGTTATCTGTCATGTTGTCTGTTTGTTGTTATTTTACTTTGTTAATGTTATTATCTGTTGTTGTTACGTTGCTATGTTGTTGTATTACTTGTTGTTGCAATGATGTTTTGTTCAATGGTAGCCTATATGCAGCTTCTCTTGTTATTTCAAATGCAATTTTTATCTTTCCATCCTACTCATGTGCTTAAACATATTATTTTGTAAATGGTGTATCCGTTGGAATGAATAAATAAATAAATAAACAGGCTAAATATTAAGAGGGGGATGTCAAGTAGCTGAATCATGATGCCTCAGTTAAGGATTAGCTACAATTTTCACTAAACCTATCTCAAAGGTTTTTTTTAAATAAAATAATCCAACAAAAAAAGTAGAAAATTTACCAAATAAAAAAATTCTAACAACCATTCAATAATCAGAACATTTAAGGTGTGAGAAACACTTACAAAACAGGAAGTACACTTTATTCTGCTGCTTTGCTTCATGGTTGGATGTTAGGCGACCATTGATCAAATGGAGAAGAGTGTTGATGTCTTTTTCAAAACTGTTGAGAGCTGTTTGTAACATGCGGCTGATTGTTTGATCTATTTGCTTACAAACCTCTTCTATTTCATTATGGCACTCACTCATCTGAAAAAAACCAAAGGGGTAAGCTAATTTTGCTTAAAGAGTTTTGATCAACATTTAAAAATCATGGTATTTAAACCTCTATTCTTGAAAGACACAACCAAACTATGAACTATGATGTACTTTGGTAAATTTTCTTTAAAAAAGAATGGTGACCTCTTTTAACCTTGTATTTGCTTATCCACATAGACCTCAGACTTGTGTGTGGAACGTATCAATTAAAGCAAGGGGTTAAGCAAGTTGTGGACAAAGGTGAACTGTAGTGAATGTAGAAAACAAGAGTGTGGCAAACTCCAGAACACAAACCTACGACATCCCTACCATGAATTAACCGTCACACCATATACCAACTGAGCCACCAAACTACACAAACATCTACAGAGAATTATTAAACTTAATTTATGTTACCTGACACGTTCCAGTATCCTCTGAACTAATGGACATGTTAGAATGCTGTTTTTGCAGTTCTTGTTTATGAGCCAGCGTTGGGATGTATATACCAGGCATTGAGAATCCAGAGCGATTCAATCCTGAATGTCTACAAACTTCTTGGGTGATTTGCATCATAATCCTGCAAATTAAACTGTATTGTATTAGAACTATAACTGAAAAATTTGCTTGGAGGAAACTTGTTTTTAAATTTGTGATGTGAAAAATGAATGGCAGTTGTGTCACAATGCTATAATAACACCTTTCCTCTTTCAAAACAATTTGGTAGAAATTCAAAGTCTTAATGTAGGTATGAATATTTGCAGTAAGAATTAATGCTTCGACACATCTGAAATCGGTTGCAGCATTTCATTTGGATTATGCCTGATGCAGTTTTATAAAATGATACATTAAAAGAGCAGTTTTACAGATAAAAACCTTTTAACCACAAATATATGCGCATGTGACCATTTGTTCATATAGGCGCACATGATGGAGGGCTCACCAATTTACACAGAGCTCCCCTTTGATTATTCTATTTCATTCTTACTTTGATATTATAGATATTTAACATTATTTAGTTTCCTAGCACGTTTTATTAGATATTTAAATAAAAATCATTATTTAGTAAACTCAAGGGGCGTTTTTAAGTAAGGGCCATTTCTCCACATAACATTAACTCATTGCACAATTAATAAGGGACATAAACTGAGTCATCTGACGATAAATGTCTGCATCGGATTGTAAGTAACATATACTACAGTAGCAATTTTCAAATTTAGATGATTGAATGATTCTATTACTAAATTAATTGATTCGTTAGGTTACATATGTTTTTTTCTCTGTGCAAACATCTTTAAAATATTATTAAATATTTATATTTCCTATCATTTTCAAGTATGTATTTATGATTCTATAAACTGCAGTCAAAAACGAATCTTTGACCTTATCTTCTTTGCAGCGGAAGATGATATAAAATTTAAAAAAAATCTAGACACACAGCACAGCTACAGAGATGCAAATGGCACGTTTATATTTACAAATGATGACAGTAAGCAGCAAATAGCTGTGTAAACGCAAACTATGGACTATGCTTGAATGGGCCTTGCTTAAAAAATGCCCCTCATATTTATTTTTTCATCCTGTAAGCATATCTTGCAAATATTGTCATACAACAAAAAATTATACACAATGTAAATCCATGAATGTGTAAAAAAAACAACAATAATGGAATTGAAAAATGAATTGTGATTAACTATTTCATATAATTTTAAATGTGTTAAAGAAGAGTACAACTGTAGTTTCCTAAAACTACTGTGCTACAATCCACAGTGTGCAGAAGCCAGGTAACATAAACCTTATTAGTGTTGAATGGTTTGTTTATAACTGTTCAGCAATAAAAATGATTTGTTTTAAGAATAATAGAAAATGTCCAGTAACATTAAAACTTCTAAGAATTAATGAGAGTCTGACATATTTCTGATCCAGTTTTGTTCCTCTCCTGCATTTGAAGTGTGGTTTACTTACTTTTGCTTGTCAGTTTGTTTTCTGATTTCATCAGATTTTGATAGGTACATGTGCAGTTTTTCTGGATACAATGAGTTTATCTTCTCAACAACTATCATTGTCCGCTTGCACAAGGCTAGACCAATAGGGTCAAAGAATACAAAAATCAAGTCTGCCACTCCTCCTGAAACACATTTAGACTTATTTGAAAATTTAGTTATAGCATTGTTCCTCAAAATAAAATTAAAACAATGAAGAGCCACCATTTGTGAACCAAGTTATTATTATTTTTAAGCCAATTCACTGCCAGTAAATGAACAAATATGATTACTGACACATAATGTTTAAACATACAAAAGGAATCCATAGTAGCAAACTGACGAACTAATGTTAGTGCAAATATTATTTTACTTTATAGTGACAATTTTGTATATTATCCATTTATACATTTAGTATATTATCCCCCTCCTTCTAATAAGATCTTGCATATTTCAGCTTTATTACCTAGAAATAAAATGGTATCATTCACATCGTATGGATACTCCATTCCACCATCCACCATACCAGGTGAATCTATGAATGTTACCATGGGGAACTGGCGCTTCTTCGATGTTGAAATCTCGGTCATCAAATAGTCCAATGTACCTAGAAAAATCATAATGTAATGATCATTTTGTAGATTATTATCATACTAGTTTTAAGATTCAAGATTTTCAAGATTCAAGATTTTTATTTGTCTTTTGGCACACAAAGATGATGTATTTGCCATTGTCAGATATTAAATATAAATACAAATCTGTCTATGTCTATGTTGTAATATGTTTTATGTTGTGTAAGATTATGTTGGGAAACAAACACACAAGTCTCTAATGGATTTTATAAAGTCTGCAACATACAAAATAAAAAATAAAAGTAAAAATAAATTTATATGTGCATGTTGCATTTACAAACATATAAAAACTAGGGAGGTTAGTCATCAATAAACACGGTATAGGCATTCGGCAAAGTGTGGCACGAATAAAAAAATTAAATTGGTGCTAAACAAAGACTCTGACAGGCCTCCACTGAAAGCTTTTTTAGGAGAATATTGCATTTGGTACAATTTTATTTTGCAATCCCTTATAAAAGAACTATGTATGTTTTTTTTATGTTGTTTTACTGTTATGAATGAATATGAATAATAAAAAAAATACAATACAAAATAGAAACACTTCAACAGATTAGTTGAATTTAACTTTTATATGGTTTTACGTGAAATTAAAAAAAAAACGGGACTGTATTAGTGAGAAACCTCATATAGAACCAAGTACCCTCTACAGGTTATAGTATCCATTAAATTTCCCAATAAAATTACAGTAAATATTCTATGACTATATTGATGGTAGCAAAAAAATATGTCATTTAAAATGATATAAACTATAGAGGACATTGAGTTGTGCAAAGTTTCTCAAGCAGCAAAACAAATATTGGTTAGTGTCACCGATGTTATTCTTGTAGTGCTTTACCTGTCACTCCTTGTCACAAAGAGTTTAAAACTTACTTTGATGACTTATCTTATGTGAACCATTCATCTAAATCTGTTATTGGAATTGTTTATTTATAATATTATTTCTAATTCATATTTATTTTGATATTATTAATAAGTAAATCCAACCATACCTTCTATATGCTCAAGTGGTTTTAGGTCTGGGAAGAGGAAAATAGTTGCGGGTCCCTGAAAACATTATTCTGCGATTACATTAGTCCCAATGTATAAACAGATAAATGTACAGGGTTAGGCAAACGTCTGGAACCCCCCAGTTAACTTTTAACACGTTGCAGTAGGAAAACCAAACTCGGCACATATTTACAACATAAGAAATTGCACTTTTTCATCAAAGTTACAACCTTACCCCAGCCCCCAAAATGGGGTATTCTGGGGGCAGCCCCAAATTTTCAAATGTAAACACCTATCATGTGACCCCTCATTTTAAAGGGTTTATCAAGAGAAATTGAATGGCGCAAACCAGAGGTCAATATCGCACCCCTAATCAAAATGGGGTGCATTCATTTATATATATATATATATATATATATATATATATATATATATATATACATTTATCTGTTTTCTAAATTATCTAGATCATTGAATGACAGGGTTTAAATGAAGTCCCGCATGGGTTTAATATGTTCTGAACGATAAAAGATAAATCAATAAGATTTGGTACGTCAACATGTCACCTAAAAATAAGTAGATGGAAGGAACTATCAGTTTTCTGTCATAGGCTATCATGGCGATGTCCGAAGGAAGAAGTCGGAAGGAAATCTTAGATGTAAGCATAGGTGGATATGCACATAAAATTAAAGTTCTCTATTAGTAGAATACAATGCCGCAAATTTGAACTAAAAAAAAAACTACAAAAATGGCAGCCGTTCTAAGATTCAAAATTGCAAATCCAAAAAAACCTTTGAACGGCTGCCATTTTTGACTCAGTTGTTCTTTTGAGCTCAAACTTGCGGCATTGTATTCTAGTAATAAATAACTTTAATTTTATGTGCATATTGACCCATGGTTACGTTTAAGATTTTCTTCTGATTTGCTCTCTCCCTCCCCCCTCCCCTCACCAAAAGAGGAGGGAGGCGTATAGTAGCATTGCAAATTCAAGGAATCTTTCAAGGAATAGCTGTAATTTTTGACTCGGTTTTCTGTTTAAGTTTGGGTTGTAGCATATTGTATTTGACTAACAAAGGCCTTTAATTTGAGGTGCATAACAATGTATGCTTACATTTGAGATTTCCTACTCCTTGCAGGATGTCCCCATGATATGACAGAAAACCGATAGTTCCATCAAAAAGTAGATTTTTAGGTTTCGTATTAATGTATCATAACTTATTGATTTAGCTTATTGTTCAGAACATATTAAACCCGTGTTCTCTGTATACTAAAATTGTTTAGAGGTTACATACATTTCTTCTCTCAAACAAACGTAAACTATTATTAAACATTTCTATTTTCCTTAATTTTCAAGTACGTAGCTATTTATGTGGTTCTATAAAACCAGAAAAAATGCAATTTTTAACATAGGTGGTCTATTTATTGGAGTAAAATAAATAACTGAATACATATCATTATATGAAATATACATAACGAGTACAATGAGTAGATAACCTACATCATTACCATTAGTGTTTCTCTTTTACGTCCACTTGTGATCAGAGTAAAAGACTGTGTTTCGATTGCCATTCCTGTTCTTTGCACATTATCCTCAATATACCTAGAGAAGAAAATAATATGTACTAAGCAAAAATTCTAAATATATTTATATATATTATGTTTTTGTAAATAAGTAAATTTTTACATTGATTTTCTGTCTAACAATATGTATTACAATAATAAACATGTATTAAGTATTAAACATGGATTTAACAAAAGAAATTTTAGTTATTTCCATGGAATTTGAAATAACTAGGTGTGTTGTGGGCCATCACACTTGACACTGTTCTAATTCTTTTCGTGTAATTCTTTTAGAGGTTAAAAAAACTGAGGTTAACAAAAGAGAAAAATAACTTGCAAAAATTAAAAGTAACAATGTTTTCCACATAGCTGTACCATGACACCTACATAATAACTTGTCTTTCAAATAAAATTTACAAAATCAAAAATAATGAATTTGTAATTTGTGAATATGACCAACCAGTTAATGAAACTTGACTTTCCAGCGGAATGGTTTCCAATTAACAAAACTGTTACTTTCTTCTTGGGTGGTAAAATTTCTAACCCCACTTTCTCCCCAATTGCAATTAATCCTGAAAAAATAACAGTTTAGTTATATAAGTAATATTATATTCATAAGAAATACTAATGTGATTAAAACGTAAATGATTTATCTTACACTTCAGTGTTTTTACGAGTCATAAGTTATAGTATTTCTGTTAATATTTAGCCAAAAATATTCAAGCTTTGTTTAACCTGGTCAGCTCTTTTATTAAAACAGAATTTGATATTTGGTACAGCATATGAACAATTGGTCTGCTTTATTAAGATAAAATTGATTTCTGATTACCTATATATAGTAGATTATCCCTTATTCCTCTTTCAATTTCAAACAATATTCATCTTTATCTTTCATTTTTCTTTTTTCTGGTTTGATTGTAGTGAAGTTGACTCACTTCCCAACCTTGAACACTTAGTCTGTTCTGAACTGTTGTAATAATGTTACTGAATGAAGATGTTTAGATCATGTGATCCACATAACCTACCGAGTTACTTGATAAATAATGTTACCTAAGTTAATAACATAAGGAGTAGTTGATTATAAAAAAATATATATTTTGTTAGTAAAATCTTTTATAAATTTGAGTATTCAAGTGGGTCTGATGATGACTGATCAAAACCAATTGTTAATGTAGAAATTTGTTTACACATTTACTGTCTTGTAAATGTTTGCAGTGTAAATGTGGATACAGTATATCAAAAAGTATTGACAATTATGTTGCCTTTGTAAAATAGCATCAACACTTATGCTTTTTTTTATAAATAGTACTAATCATCCTAATTCACCATGTCTCTAAACCATTCATGGTCTTTTAGAATAAAAGTGAAAGTAATTAATAGAAAATTCTATCTTGCCATTTTTGGGATGATTGTAGAGTTCATTCAACTGTTTGAAGATCCGCTCATGCAGTGATATATCCGCCACAGACGAGTCGTTTGGTAATTTTTGTACGTCGCCAGTTTCAAACATTTTTACCTGTGAAATGGAATTTAATGGTTCAAGCAAATAATAAAATAGGACTATTAATTGTGGATCAGTTGTTCGGTAAATCCTACAACCTTTCAAATGTAATTATTTATCTGTAAAACAAGGCTAAAATTTTAACAAAACAACAAATATTAAAACAAAAATTTAAATAACTTAATATAAAAAATGCATCGAGTAAAGCTGTGTAAAGTCTTGAAAAATAGATTAAAACAGTTTTCAATTGACACATTTTATACGCTTCATCAGTTCTGAATTATCACTTCAGATTCATTAATTTAGTTGTTGCACTAAACTATAGAAACTTTACCTTTATAGTTATGTATAGTTGTATTAAAATAAAACTTACCAAGTATTTAAATGGTGGATCGAAACTGGACATGTTACAACTATAGATTCATCGATGTTATATTTCCTTTAAAGTTGTCAAGAACAAAATATTATTTAACTACTACTCATACTAGTCACAAAGGCAACTGGAAAGGTACTGAATTGTACAGAGTCGAAGAGTTAAATACACTGAAGCCATACATGATTACTGAGGAGACCTAGTCAGCCAAAACTGATCAATAACTCTGACAAACTAATGCAAAGACAATTTTACTTGGGTATTTCTAACATGGGGTGATCCATGTAGTAGATATCACATTAATTAAAAATCATCAATATGTAGTAAATTTAATAAGTTATTTTAAATAAATTAATAAGTATTGAAGATATTGTTTGATCATTACAATAAAAATAGTAAAGGCTATTCTCCTTTAAAATTATAATACTAGATATAATATAAAATAATAATAAACTATTTAATAAATACTAGGTGTGAATATTTTTCAGTCCAAAATGTACAATTAGATATGGAACTCAAAATAGAGATAAGAAGATAAGAAGAGAAAATCAGTATTCTTTATACAGTCATTGAATATGAATAAGTAGTGATTTTTTTTTTTCAAGCAGACTCCCAATTGAACTGCACAATTCTATAAAGGTATTTAAAGGGAATTTAATGTGTCTATGAAATTTATTCCAAGTTATAATGTTAGTACGTTATACTACACTAATTACTAAATTACACTTTCTTAGAGAAATTTAATAAACATCAGTCTGTTAAACTGATATGCATTGAAAGGGGTTTTTCCTGTTTTTATGTTTCAAATTACCACACAACTGTATTAAAAGTCTATTTTAATCATCCGTATATAAAGGTTTAACCTTGAATAAGACATATACAAGGTGGCTTAAAAGTATCTTGAGCCCCCCTTAACTTTTAACCATTTAAGATATTTGAAATGGGTTCACAGCAACTTTCTTAGATATGAGGGGCTACAATAATGATGGTTGATTTTTTTTTAATTTTGTCACTAGGGGAATGGGGATAGGAGTTAGCTACAAATTTTCAAATGGGAAGTATATTCGAGTTTGGTAGGTATCATTTAACATGTCTTGATGAAACTGAAGAATTGACATAAAGAAAATAAAAATAGGACAACTAATAACAAAATTCAAAATTGCAACTAAAAATTCCTTTAAATAACCCACCTTAAGAAGTATTGATGAGCATTGTATTGATAAAAGCATTGTGGTCGTACAAAAATATTATTAGCCTATTTTATAAAGTTTCAATTTTTATCAAGGCAATTTTTTTAGTTCATATCATTGCTAATAACATCTGCGTCATCAATTTTGTTTTGAGGCGAATCATTTGAGGGTGCCATTTACAAGGGGTGCAAGTTACTTTTTAGCCGCCCTGTATTCATATTAAAAATTTCACTATGTGTCATGGCTAAAAACTTTTCTATACTGAATAATGATGTTTAGAAGATTGAGGTGCAAGTTTATGATAAGACCTTGGAGTATGGATGTCATTTTGTTAATCAACTCATTAGTTTGATATTAGGTCACAACAATACTTATTCTTTTATCTAATAGAAAGTTGTTTCCATGTCAAATACTCAAATACTCCTACTTACTGTTCCTTCTACAATATATACTCTTCAAAATTACCTCATCACATTAAGTTATTAAATATGTAGGTATGCAACCATAACTCATACAATGATTAGATTAGTCTGTTATTGGTAATCAATTTAGAAAAAAAATAATGGGGCTTTTAAGTTTACATTATGTCAGTCAAAGGTGCATAGATAAGGGAGTAAAAGTCACAACAATTTCAATAATCATTTTATTGAACTCAGTAACAATAATGTACAATTTTACAAAAACGGGCGCTGTTACAGTAAGAACTATTTTTTAAATTGTCACAAGGTGCATTAATATAAGCTACAAATATTACTTTCCTGTGTTTTAAATTAGTATACTGTGTTAGAGTTAATCAAAAATGATAATAAAATGTAAACCATTTTGAACAACAAAAGTATCCATAAACTTATATTGACACAGTGAGTAACGATTGTAAATATTGACCGGCTATAAGTTGATATTTACAACCGTTAGGAAGTAAAAGGTGTTAGCTGCGTGGACAATAAGCGGGTTCGGGGACAAAGGTCAATCCCAATGACAGCCACTAGCTTACGTCGCCGGCCGCTGAAGACCGCTGAACTTCGGTGTTCTGTAATCACCGTTGGAGCTTGCTACTTCTGTGGCGAGTAAAACCAGAACCGCTAGCTGTTCCAGTCAGTCAGTTCAGTTCAGTTGAAACCAGTTGAAGTCCAACCAACGGTCTAAACATCAACCTGACCTGTACTGGTAGAATTAGCCAATTGAAACTTCAGTTCATTTTTCCAAGTAAGTTTTTGTCAGACGGTTTGTGAATTGAAGGAAGACTTGCAGATATCAGCTATTGAGAAATTTTATTTAGATAGACCAGCGAATGAGCCCGGCATTAACAATTGGTATTTAGAGTTTAAAATTATTTTATTTAAAAAGACTGGCAAATGAGCATTGCATTAAAGTTTGATATTCAGAGGTTAGAATTGTTTTATTGAAGAAAGACCGGCAAGTGAGACCAGTGGCGTACCGATGGGGGGGCGGGCGGGGGGGTCCGGCTCAGGCCCCACACAATCACAGGCCCCCAATTCAGGGCCGTATTCCTCTAACGGCTGACACAGCGATTGCCGAGGGCCTCGGCCTAGTAAGGGGCCTCACTTGGGTCTCAAAACACGTCTTAATCTTGGAAAATAAATTTTGCTGTTAGAATATAATAATCTGTTCTCACAATCGCAGGAAGCGTCTGCAAAGATTGCGCGATCGAAAATCTCGACTTCCAGTGATCGTGGGTGACAATAATAAGGTCTCGCAGCCGCGAAAGATGTTCCGTGTTCACGATTTTACCGCGATCGCGGGGCTGATAATGTTGTTCGCGGGAGATGTTAACGATTTCCGCATGTAGAATATATCCCTGTGACCGCGAAAGGATCCCTATTACACCGTAAACATAGGATATGTTTACGATTATTCCGCGGTCTAGGAGATAACCCGAGTGACCACGGGAGACGGAGATTACGACCCCAAAAAACATGGACGCTCACGATTTCGTCTTCACCGAGGACAATATTGTTCATTTTTGCCCCAATTGCAGATGTCGTTTGGACCAATTATAGTACAAAATATAATGTATAATATAAAGATAATATAATTATATAGGCTAATGTATTTTATACAAAAATAGTATATCCTAAGTAAAAAAATTAAAAGAAGTGACAGCAAATAACCTGATTTCTGTTACTTCTTAGAATGCTCGTGCTCATTACGAATCTCCAACTCATAAAAACGTAAAATGTTAAAAGCTTTAAGGAAAATTTAATTTAACATCATTCAATTTTTCTCAAATACAAAAATAGATTACATTTAAAATAGTTGAAGTAAGCTCATTTAATCAGTGATACAAAATACATTAAAAGCATATATTTCTTTTCAGTTCTAATCACTGTTTAGGGTTACTTTTTTAATAAACACCATGTTACCCTGTTTAAAATAATTTTAAACATAAAATGATTTTAAACAGGGTACTATGGTATTTATTATTTCACTTATATATATGTATGTAAAAAAGGCCCTCTCATCTAAGCCGCCCCAGATTATTTTATTCTATTAGATTAGTTTATTTGAGGAAAGACCGGCGAATAAGCCTGGCGATTAGTGTGAAATTCAAGTTTACTGAGTTTGTTGATTTGATAAAGCCCGGCAAATTAGCCTGGCACTAGACACGTGAGAACAACACAGCGTTGACAATTGTTTTAAAAGTGATCAAAAAAGCGATGATGAGCGTGTTGACATCGTTGACCCCCTGTGGTGAGGTGTCACTATGAGCTTTATCAAACAATAGATACGGTTGGTTCAAAATTGAATAGCGGAAGAACCGTTGAGTTTCCCAGCTCGACTTGAGCGATTCCAAGCATTTTATTTGTAAGGCAATAGGGTAGAGGAGTGTAGTACGGGAGAGGCTTAGAGAGAAAGGCCGCTACCCCGAAGCACTGAGCACCTTACAGCTGGTACATAGTAAATATAAAAGAAGGCCTTATGACTATTTTTCTTATATGACCAAACTCTTATCATTGATTGCATATACTGTAGTATACTATTTCATAGGGCTGAGAATTATTAGTGACAGTACAGTTTTATTTTTGAAGAGTGTGCTTAGCACAAATGTAACATATTTTATTCTTTTACCAAACTTCTATAGGGAAGAAACTAGTATTGCACTAAATTCTATATTGTAACCTTTTTTACCCCAGCAGAAAATTTGTATAGTTAGATTTAATAGTTATTTTTCATCTATATGTTACTATATTGAACACCAAGACATACTTGTATAATGCACAGCAGAAATATTTGCAAATGTCTGAGAAAATTTATTTTTATGTTAACATTTAAGGTACCGGTAACATTAACACTCTTACACGTCCTGTTAGATAACATTTTATTTAGTTTAAATGTCTCATGGATATGTTCCTAGGACCCAAGGGGTAGTAAACACCCCTGCTAAGAGCGCTAAAGGCAACTCAGGTTGATTTGACAAATAGGGTATGCTAGGTCTCAAGTTTGTTACGATTTGGTTTTATCAAGCAATATAATAATGAAATTGCAAACATTTGGAAAAGTAAATAGATTTAGAATCCCACATGATTTCAAATGACTGATATGTGAAAAAAACGTTTACAGTAATAAAATAGCTACGGTTTTAAAACATAATTTGCCCAAGCCTCTGTTGGAATAACGTGTACTACAACATAAAATGTTTATTTCCAATATTAAGCCAGTTTACAATAATATTTTTGGAAATTTCCCACCACAATGTTACTAGTCTATAGTAGGAGTCAAAAGTATTTCTAATTTATTTTACCATAAAATAATTAAAAAAGATATTATATTGAATTCAGCCAAAGAGAACAGAAAAAATGAAAGGTTACTAAAAAATTTAATAACAACAATCACTAGCTTAACATTAAGTTATATGAAGTAAATGAAAGAGAATACAAATTTTATATTTTAAAACCCAATTTTTTGGGGAAATTCATAAGAACACTAGGGTGATAGCATATTACTTACTACTTACTAAATCATTATACTTAAAAGAGTTTTTGAAAACATATAAGTAGTTTTTGGTAGTATTCAAAAGATGATTGTTGTTTGTACGTGAATCCATTGGCATTAATTACATACAGATCACTAGGGATTGCAACATGTATTAAAACCTAATACTGTTTGAATATTATGTAGCTTGAGTGCACTAAAAATAATTATTATAATTATGGTTTAGCCAGGTGCCTCTAGCCAACTCAAATCTGGATTGCTCAAAATCTCCAATTTCTTGTTTATTTTTAATCAAAAGTTTTAAACTAGTTCAAGTTAAAGAATAACCCCACATAACATGAAAGAGTTTCACAATTATATTTTACTTCTATAAGTCGAAGTTGGAGTCTCAGTAAACATAATCTATTTTTGTCGAACCTCGTGTATTTTGAAGAAACATTAAAGAAGTCTTGTGAATTTGAATATACAAGTTCAACGTACACACAGTTTAAATTTTTAGTTGGAATGTAAAACCTGAGTTAAGACATAGTTTACAGTATGTACTATTTCTGAAAATAAATGTAAACAAATGCACACAGTTTTTGTTAATAGTTTCAATTTTAATAAATATGATTTATTTAAATATTAAGCAGGCTATATGGATTAGAACATTGTAAACAGAGTTATATAAAATTTATGATAAAAATCACATTTTAAATACATCACTTCACAATACTTTAATGGCTTTATTAACAAGTAACGGACCCATCATGGACTCAATAATAACACTCCTAACCTAGGTAATATAATACTGAATTTTGTTCAACATGTTTTAACAATAAGCCTAGTATGTCATGTTGATAAGAAGTCACCTTCAACCAAAGAAAAATTGTCTTTTTAAAAGTAAAAAATGACATAAAAATAGTTGTCCTGTGTATGAAACAAAAACACAATCATACTACACACATGCACTTCACAAACACAAATAAGTTATTTTCAAAGCAAATGAATGGATATATTAAGCATATAGGAATATCAAGTTTGAAAGCGTTTTATTGTACAAAGCAAATGTTAAAACGACAACATACAATATTTAGCTGAACCCCCTTTTAAACCATTTAATAAACATTCGATTATTTATAAATGTAAAAACTAGTCCCTTAGAAATTGTGTAAGCAAATTGATATACACACACAATCTTATATCATGATTTGTAGCAATTATAAGTACTGTAATGCATTTAAATATAAAATCTTATAATAGTTAAAAGCTCTTACAAATATAGTGATTTCTAATGTCATAGTGAAATATAAATTACTAAAATGACAAAAATACAAACTTCATATTTCTCTTCTAATTTAAAAACCCCTGATTTATTAGTAAACTGGTTGGTTATAAACAAACTATTATAATTTGCTGTTTTAATCAACCCATAAATAACATAAATACTCTTATTTGTTTATTTTTTAATGTTATATCCCTGAGGTGATTTAAACTCAAAACACAGTTGGGGGAATAAGAAACAATTCAATTTTGAAGTATAGTAACCCCAATAATAGACTAAAAAATGTTTGAGTTAAAAATCAATACAGTGCTCTTCATGTGTAAGAAATGAGATAGGTAAAAATAACTGTGTGGTAAAAAATATGCTTGTAAACAACTGTGAAACTTTCAGATCATATTTTTTCTAAATTAATTCAGTTATCTAATCAACATGAGACACAATTATCAAAATCTGTGTCTCCTGAAATGGTAGGTTACTACCTAGTACTACCATTTGTGCCTTAAGGAGGCATGAGCATGTTTTTGTGCTTAGGTACTTAGATTTGTTCCTTAATATAAACGCAAAATAATGCAGCAAACTCAAAGCCACAGCACCATTAACCATTGGAAATAACCATGTCAACATACAATTTATTTTCACAAATACAAGTGAAAACTCTTTGGCTAGAAAAAGTTTTTGGCACATACATGGAAGGATCAAACTTAACTGAACATTATACCTGAAAACTTGTTAAAAGTATCAAATTTAAATCATTATGATATGATATTCATCACGTATCAGATGAGGAGAATATATTTTAGCTGGGAGGAGGATCTTCACACAAGTTGTGCCACCCTTCGTGTTTATGATCAGGGAATTTGATCATGTCGACCCATTGACGCAACCTTTCTCCTTTGGACTTGCATCCCAGCTCCAAACATCCTATAGAAAATAACTTATGTGACTTTTCAAATTAAATTTCAATATCCTGATCAACAGTAACGAGTGTTTTGCCTTCTGTTTAGTTATCTAAAACATCTCCACTTAGACATTTTCTACATGGTATTGATGATTCCATAAAGTATTTTCACTTCATAGGTCGCCACCTTAGTCTGTGGAGGTGATGTTAAGAGGGCTTACACACTTAGACCTTTTTTTAAAGAGGTTGGTGTTTCTCTTTTAACCTTGCATTTGCCCGTCCACATAGACTAACTGCCCATGAGTGGAATGTACCAAGCAAAGCAAAGGGTGAGCCGGTACAGTAAGAAGGTGAACTGTACTGATAAAATGAATTGTATCCAGGGATAATCCTTACTACTATTTAAGGGTTTTAGGGGGAGGCACCAGAATGTTGATCACTCACACTAGAAAAATGTGTAGAACCGGCCCTGTTGATGTATATATGACATTCTTATATTGAACCTCTTTAAAAATTAAGTACAGTAAAGCCAAAACTTTAAGTACGAGGGTTGTTTTTTAAGTAAGGGCCGTTTTTATTTTAACAAAAAGATACAAATAATTTTGTAAAATAATTTTTATTTTCAGATTCTACACACTTTTACCTATTTTTCTATATAATTGCCTTGTTTATTTAAGCACTTGTCACAACGTACAACTAAGTTTTTAATTCCCTCTTCAAAGAATTCGGCCGCCTGCTCCGACAGCCAAGAGTTCACGGCCGCTTTCACTTCATTGTCGTCATTGAAGCGCTGTCCGCCAAGATGGTGTTTCAGGTACCGGAAAAGGTGAAAATCGCTAGGAGCAAGGTCGGGGCTGTATGGTGCATGGTCCAAAACTTCCCAGCCAAAAGAATCAATCAAATCCCGAGTCTTTTGAGAGTTGTGAGGCCTAGCGTTATCGTGCAGAAGCAAAACTCCTTTTGTCAGCATGCCGCGCCGTTTGTTTTGAATTGCTCTGCGGAGCTTCTTTAGAGTTGCACAGTAGGCATCTGAGTTGATCGTCGTTCCTCGTGGCATAAAGTCCACTAGCAAAACACCGCGCCGGTCCCAGAACACAGTTGCCATAATCTTGCGCTTTGACAGAGTCTGTTTGGCTTTGACATTGACGGGTGAGGTTGTGTGTCGCCATTCCATTGATTGTCGCTTGCTTTCAGGAGTGATATGAGATACCCACGTTTCATCTCCAGTGACAATTTGACTCAACATGTCATCCCCTTCTTCGTCGTAACGAGTCAAAAAGTCCAATGAAGTGGCAAATCTCTTCACTTTGTGGTCCTCTGTGAGGAGTCTGGGTACCCACCGAGAACACAATTTCTTAAAGTTTAGCTTTTCAGACACAATTTTGTACAAAACAGATCTTGAAACTTGTGGAAATTGCAAAGAAAGAGTGGAAATTGTGAATCTTCTGTCCTCACGAACCTTTGTTTCGACTGCAGCCACCAAATCATCAGTGATCACAGAGGGCCGGCCTGAGCGTTCTTCGTCATGGACGTTTTGACGGCCTTTTTTGAACTCCCTAACCCATTGTCGAACTTTACCTTCACTCATTGCATTCAAGCCATAAACTTCTGTTAACTGACGATGAATTTCTGCAGCTGATAGGCTTCTAGCGGTCAAAAAACGTATCACTGACCGTATCTCACACGCGGCGGGCGATTCAATAATCGTAAACATTATAAAGTAGCACAGCAATGCGTACACGTCAGCTACAAAGCTGCAAATGGCATCAGTGTGAACCGGAAGGATGCCGGCAAGTGGCGCGGTGGATTGTTGCGGCATCCGCGCGAACTACGGGACTATACACGCAACCGGCCCTTACTTAAAAAACAACCCTCGTACATTTTACATTATTTTTAAAATGAATATTTTTAATTTTTTACCTAATTTAGTTTAATTTACAAAGAGAAAGATATCATGGGATAGAAATGTAATCCAAACCATGTTACTTGTTGGACTCAGGCCAGTGGTTAGATAGCACCCTTCTTCCTCTCTTGCAAGGTGTAACCTTTAAAACTAAATGAGAACTTGACATGACTTGTTTAGTGAATAAAAAGGAAATACTCACCTAAATAATCATTACTCTTCCCATAATCTTTGTCCCATACTGTTAACACCAGGGTTTGTTGTGGTAGATCAGTCATTTTCGTTTCAAATACAAATTCTTCGTTAAAAACTGGATTCAGGCTTTTCCATTTTACATTAGTTTTGTATTTTCTGTGATAGTGATCCGGTTTCAGATACCTAAAACAAATTTGTACAAAATCCAAATAAATGAACAATTTTAAATTGTGTATGTTATAATATATGTAGTGTTATATATTTCTATATGTTAATAATCATCATATTACTTCTAAACCAAGTAGTTTTTATATCCAAAATGCATCTAGTTACTCTCCCTTGTTGTTATTTGTACAGTTTTCCCTATATATCGAGTCTAATGTATTTAGGCCTATTTTAACAACCAAGCTTAGTAATATTATTTTTTTTATAATTGCTTTATCATTTATTGATGTCGGTGATCCCATCTTTTGATCAAAAACAACAAACAGGTCTCAACCTAGGGATGAATTGTTTCATGGTTAAATAATTCACAAGTGTGTAATGTGTAAGTTAGTTAATCTAAGTTATTCTTAGTCTACTCTGTGTGTAAGCTTTGTAAATCAATATATGAAACAATAAAGATTTTCTGATTTTCTGATTTTACTTTGGGTTGATAAGTTATAACTTATAAGTTTATTAGTTATAAGTAATAACTATATTGTTGAAATAGAAGCTTGATTTGAAAATTAAAAATGTCCAACTTCGCTTTTACTTTACATTTGCAAATGAAAAAAATAGACATTTTACAGCTTTCAAAGATTGATGAAGCACCTATATACTAGGTTCAAAATATTACTGTGACACTTAAGTGATACTATTCTACATTAATTAATTCATGAACAAAATGTTTTATAAGTTTTAGAGTTGTTGGCCACTAATCCAATCTACTTCAAGATAATGAAACAACTCACAATTTCACAAATGGATCAGAAAAGCCATTACTATCCATGGGAAGTAGGTTTGTGCATCGTATAATGCCTACAATCAGGGCTTTTCTCTTGGTTGAGTAACATAAAGTGATAAGAATTTGTCCATGAGTCCAGCCCTCTTCTCCCCACACCTCTTCTTCATTTTCCACCTGCAAAATCATTTAGAGTATAAAAATATGTAAGATCATTTTGTAAAGTAATTTGATTATCAAACTAAAATATTGCACTATCATTGTTCAGGTGGCAAAATGTAACTTATTAGTTATTAATGAATGTACATGTATACAGCTCTGTCTTACATTAATCATAACTAGCTAACCTGGCGCGCGGATTCGTGCGCAATCTAGACAGGGCAAGCAGGACTTTTTTATCTTTTTTATTTGGCGTTTTCGGGTATTTGGTTTTGTTAGTGGAGGTGGGGATGGTGGAAAGCATATGAGTTCGCAGTTTACTTAAAGTCTTTGCCATTTATTTTGTGGAAGCCGGTAAAAGATTCTTGTTTGATTAATCTTCTTTAACCTAAACAATTCTTTCGGATTTAATTTGATTTTCTATATAGCGCAATACTGATTTTGATTGTTTAAAAATCTGAAAATGATACCACGCATGCACCAAGTGTGTATTTCATGAACAAAGGCTGGTTCTTTTAGCCCTTTTGCAACGAAACCTAAGGACTGTCCTTGAGATTTTCTGATGTTCATGGCAAACGAAGGGATAACTGGGAACAAACTTTTCAAGAGCAAAAGGGAATAGAGTATTTAATAGCAGCAGTTTGATCCTAGGAATCAATAATTCCTTGCTAGACGATGAGCCCGATAGTGTTAAATCCAGATGATGATTATGATGCCATGATGAATGATGAGCCCTGACTACCTCACCCTTTAATCGAGCTTGACGACGTATCAAGATTCCTGATTCACATAGCAATGACGTTTCCTTAAGCTTGAGTATATGAGGTGGTAGACCACTAACAGAGAGGCTGTCACAAAACTTATTTAGGCTACACATAACGATTTTGCCCAGCGTCATTTTCTGCAAGTACCTTATCTCTGCTTGGTTGGCTTGGCACTATCCAGGAATTGTCCATGATTGCGCTGCACTATTAATTTCGTAGCAGTCTTCATTTTATGAACACAAAATAGCACGGTGAATTATGTCTAAAGGATTGCATACTCATTCCCGTAAATATTAGCAACAGGATTGTCCGAAAATAATTAGATTTTGAGATGTATCAACTACATTATATCCAAATTCTGGGTGAGTTTTCAGCGTCCCATGCCCGAGACCCTAAGGGAAAGCCATGAATTCTTATTTAAATGCCAAAAATCTAATATTTTGTCTTTGTGTGAGCTGCTTGATCTCATGTAATGCTGTGAAAGACTTAACACATTGCTCATAACGTCCCACTCTTGCTCACATGAGGTACCACTGGCAGAAGGATATATCTAAACTGAAGCCGCCGCAATAAAGAACCGTTGTCTAATGCACGTGCCTACCTCACTCAATTGGGAAATCACCTTAGACATGGTGATTGGTTGCGTGACTGCGTAAAAACAACTACTGCGTAAAAACAAAATTCATGCTAGACCATAAATACCAACTAATATTGGACCATTCCAACTTAATATGTATCATTTCCAAATTTCGCAAACACTTCTCCAAAAACCAATCATAAAACATTAGTAATTCAGGGTGTATACTATGTTTTATAAGTGCTGGAATTCCAGTTTTTCCATGAATTATAAAAGTTGTTTCCTGGTTACCGCTATAATTTTTAGCTGTAAACTATAACCAATTTATTCAAGGTCTACAGCTTAAGTTTGCTCTCATATCACATTTGTAGAATTCTAATTGTTACAAAGTTAAGTGAGCTAGTGTTCCAAAAAATAATAATCCTTAATATCGTAATCATCATCATCAGTTTTTATTATCATCATCATTATATATGGTCGCGAAAACATTGTTTCCCACGATAGTGGCGAAATCCTGAATATCTCCCGCAGGCGTGTGGTCATCATCATCATCTCCCGTGGTCACGGAAACATCATCATAGTCTTCCACGATCATGGCAAAATCCTTAACATCTCCCACAGATTGTAGACGTAATTGTTGTCTCCTGCGGTTCCGAAAACGTTACCATCGTCATCCCCCATCCCGGCAAAATCCTGAATATCTCGTACCGTTTGTAGGCATTATCGTCGTCTCCCGCGGTCACAAAAACGTCATCATAGTCTTCCGCGATGGTGACAACATCCTGGACATCACCTGCGGCTTTGAGACATTACCTATAGTCTTCTCCCACTATCATGGAAACGCCATCACAGTCATACGCGCCCCCCGCGAAATCCTGAATATCTCCTGCGGTTTGTATAATCGCCTCCCGCATTCATGAGAAAATATCGTTGTCTCCTGTGGCAACGGAAACATTATCATTGTCAACAGCGAATATGGCAAAATCCTGAGTATCTCTCGTGTTTAGTAGACATTATCGTCGTCTCCCGCGGTCACGGAAACATTATCATAGTCTTCTGTGATCGCGGCAAATGCCCGAACCTGATCATCCTTACCTATTTGATATTATCAAATATTATTTTCAATAATGAAAAGCATAATGGAAAACAAAACTAATATCAAGAACGTCTGATCATTACTCTTGAGCACATATCTTAAATAACCATACAGGAGAATGTAGTTGCTATCCCTTACAATGGATGGAACTCGATAAAACAATAATTGTTCCTTTTACATTGATATCCTCCCCTCATTTAATAATATCCTGTTATTTAGTTTCAGCAAAATAAAAATCTGGAATACACCACAATTAGTATAGCTACTGTATCTTGAAATTTAAATTTGTTTAACCAAAGGTGTCATGCAGTGAAACACCAATTTTTAAACCACAAAAATAGAGTAAATATTTGTCTTTTCAACTCATCTAATACATCTTTATAGCACATGTTTCTATGATTTTCAATTTTAATATAATCAGCTGTTTCAAATATTACTGTAAAATTCAAATTATTCATGTGTTCAAATGTAAACATTTATTTCCCCCATAAGGATAACATGGGAACTTTGAAAGCCACTGGGGCAGAGCCCTAATGAAATTTCAACAATGTTTTGTTTGATGGCAAATTTAAGTGCCACGACCTATCCAACAACACCTTAAACTTGGTGATCGGATGCGTAGCAGCTTCAAAACAATCATAACAAAATTTGTGTTCGCCTATTAAATATATAACTATTAAATATATAACTGCTATTGAGCTCAGGTATATACAGTATAACTTACATTGTTCAGGCAATCAAGTTTTAATTTTATTTTGACACCTTATTATTAGAAACGTTGTTTATTATTATAGGATTTAAAGAGTCAAGAAGTTAGTATGGATTTATCAGGAGTCTTTATTAATTTAAATGCTATACAATTTAAATGAGTAGAAACATGTTACAAAAATATTTTTTTGAGTTATTTATTTTATATTTTATTATTCTTTATATTTTTGTATGCAGTAATACTCTCCTTAACATGTTTGTTGTTGTTATAATCTATCTATTTTTGTGGTTTCTGAATAATTAAATACAATATATTACCTACTCTTGTTTTGTGTGATTTCTATTATAAATCACAATAGCAGGTAACATAACCTACATACATTCAAAATTCAACCTAAAAAATAAATTGTATAGCTAGGAAAAGTATACAGGGTGTCCGGTCATAAGTGTTAAATAAAATTTTGCCTCAAACTACATGGTAATGGTGACCTAATGATGCACATTTGAGGTTTCCAACTTCAACCGTTAGGGAATAACAAATAAATTAAGGTTTTCCAAAAACTATGGAGGTTGCCATGAAAAAGGTTATATTACTCTGTTAAAAATGCACTAATTGTTAATTTAAATGTCATTTTCAGAATCCTCACAAAATTTTAAATAGATATAACACATAATCGTTATGGTACGGAAAAATATTCTACTAAAATTTCTTCGTTAAACAATTATTTTTAATACCGACGAAAATTTAATTAACATTCAGCAATTTATTTCTCGGTTACCGTGTTCCGCTGAGTTTAACAAATATTACTAAAAACTTCCTTATTTAAAGGGCTTTACAATGGTGTATAATAGTTTTTACCAAGTTTCAAATTTCCTAATGTAATTCAATCATTGTTGTGAAAAAAACATGGTAGGGCAAAGAAAAGCTATTGTGGAGAATAATACATTTAAGTGCAGGCGACGAATAATTTGTATTTTTTTCTCGCATGCAACGCTTTTTTATAACTACTAAGCTAAGACAAGAAACATATAGTAGCAAAATGTGTTTGTGGTAAAGTTACGGTTATCGTATATTTTTCATATTTCAGATAAGATTTCAATTAACTCGCGGAAGTTCGGTTGTGACTATCCCAAAACTTCCTGACATGGATTGGGCGTGGAGGAAGTGTGACATAGCCTCCTCGATCTCCAGACTTGAGCCCGTTAGATTTTTTTGTTTGGGGTTAAATGAAAAGTCTAGTTTACTCGACTATTGTAAACCCTGAAGTTGAGTTACGGGAGAGAATCTTTGAGGCTGCTGGGAAAGTAAGGGAAAATTGACGTATGAGGTCACAGTTGGCGCGATTCACAAGCGAGCTAGGGCCTGCTTGCGGGAAAACGGAGGGCACTTTACACCCAAACTGTGATTCCACCTTAATAAAAGTTGTGCTTCGGACAAAGTATGTCAATGATTTGATTTGTATTGTGTGTTTTTACTAATGTATTGTGTTTTTTTATAACAAATTTTCCAAAGTCTAAACAAAAACACTTTAGTATGATGAAAGTGTAGTCTGGTCCATCATAAATTACACAAACCCTCATCATCAGTGGTCAGCCCTTAAAATAGTAAGTAAAATTCATTATTTTTTACAATATCTGTTTTGGATTAACTGTGATTTTTCACAATAGTGCGTGAAATTCACCATAGATTTGACAGTAGATAAATGTAGTTATACATCATTGTAAAGCCCTTTAAAAAAGGAAGTTTTTAGTAATATTTGTTAAACTCAGCGGAACTCGGTAACTGAGAAATAAATTGCTGAACGTTAATTAAATTTTCGTTGGTATTAAAAATAATTGTTTAACGAAGAAATTTAAGTAGAATATTTTTCTGTACCCTAACGATTATGTGTTATATCTATTTAAAATTTTGTGAGGATTCTGAAAATGACATTTAAATTAACAATTAGTGCATTTTTAACAGAGTAATATAACCTTTTTCATGACAACTACAATAATTTTTGGAAAACCTTAATTTATTTGTTATTCCCTAACGGTTGAGGTTGGGAACCTCAAGTGTGCGTCATTAGGTCGCCATTACCATGTAGTTTGAGGCAAAATTTTATTTAACACTTATGACCGGACACCCTGTATATACTTGTTAACAAGACAAACATTTAAATACTAACTGGATAGTGCTTTTCCAAGAAGAGTGTGAGCTGTCGGGCAACGTCAGGACGAAGACGGTCCAAAGGATATCTTGCTTCCCCCATGAAGTCATGGCCATACTTGTCATCATCTAATAAAACACAGATAGTGAGTGTTGTTGAGATGAAACTAATTTAGATCTTGATTATTTTAGGCAAATGGTGATTGTTTTAATAACATCACCTAAGTGACGCAATATTTTTTGTAAAAACTACATGGTGACGAATATAATTTTATAAATGACCAGTGCTGCGGCTTGTAAAGTATTGTTGGCCTTTTTTTCTGGAGACCTGGGTTCAAATCGAGACCAACACCAACAGAAATTTGCCATGTAATTATCCCATCACCCAGTGGTTCACAACCCACCCATCAAGTAGAAATGGGCATTATTCAGCTTACCATAGGATAAATAATACTATTGAAGATCCATTGTCGCAGCGATACCTCGATGTTATGTATGGAGCTGGCTTTACCTAATGTATTAATAATCCAACAAGAGATACACATAACTCAGAGAGCTGCATCGACCACAATATATTAAAAATCACAAATATTAAAAATATTAACGATGTGAAATCTGCGATAATTAAAACATCGATAACCGATCATTTCATAACTGTTGTGTCAGCTGATATAAATGTCCGTAGATTAAAAACAAATAGTGTAAACCGAAGCTTTGTATGTGTTGACTTGGAGGTCGCCAAACAACTGTCATGACTGGTCCTCTGACCTTGCTACTGAAGACGTCGATGAGGCATGTGATGCCTTTGTGCAACAGCTGCAAATATCACGCTCAAAGCAACATCAAATAAATATGTTTCTTAAAAAAATACTAAATTAAAACCTTGGTCACCTCTGGCCTTCCATTCTGGCAAATCCATTCGTGTGAGGGACAAAATTAGTAAACAACAAAAAAAACCATTTAATCAGGCCTTAAAAGATCATGTTTCAAGATATAGAAACACTTTAAACATGTCAATTAAAAAAACAAAAGAAATGTATTAGGTACCAAAAAAAGATTTTTGAGTCAAAAAATAATAGCCTAATAGACTTTTATAGAAAACTTAAATGAGATGATTGGATTGAAAAGAAAAATTAGTTTCCCATTAAGAATTTCATTCCTGAGGATATGTTACCTGATCAGACAAGCATTGAACAAGTTTGCAATACGTTTAATGAATATTATATAAATGTAGGTGCCAACCTAGCCCGCGCTGTCCCACCGATACTTGAGCCGAAGATCAATGGTAATGACTATACGACTGACACAGTCTTCCAGCTGTTGCCTGTCACAAAGGCAAACTTAACTAACTCGGTAGTGTTGTTATGAGCATAAGGGGTGGGTCTGCTCCTAGTGCTGACAAAATTCAAAAAAAAAATTATCAAAGATAACTTTATTGAACTGAAACAAATGATTATTATTATGATTTTGCAAAATATCAACAACAGATTACTTCAATGTAAATTTCCAAACATGTTGAAAGTAGGGAAAGTCTTGCCTATATACAAAGGAGGATAAAAAACCCAATGTGTTAACTATAGACCAATTACTTTGGCTAGCGTCCTTGCTAAGTTAATAGAGAAGTGCGATTCCTGGTAAAATTGTTTTTTTTTTCTCCTTTTGTAAATGTAACTAGTATAACAATGTTTAGATTGTAGAAATAGACTGATGTAAACTCGTTCCTCACGAACAGGCATTGCCTATGTGGGGACCATCCAATTATTTTTTTAGAATTATTGCAATTTCTGTAAACCATTTTTTTCATGGAATAAATTATATTTGATTTGATTTGATTACTTAAGTGTCACCTACTACCCTGGTAATAAATTACTGAGATTTCCCTGGTTATATATTATTGAGATTTCCCTAGTTATAGCTTACTGAGAATACCCTATTATTTTAGCACCGTCATCTGAACATTTACACAAACTATAATGAAATAACTATCATGTTCCTATTAACAGAGAGCAAAACGAAATATTATAGTACTGTACTTTGGTAATTATAGATTACTGAGAACATGACTATTTTTGTAATGTCTCAACTGTTAGAACGAGCTAGTGAAATAAGTGTTGAACGTGCATGTCTTCCTATGAAAGGAGAGGATCACAAAATAATATAGTACCTTTCAAATATAATTTTTATAATTTTGCCTGAACTGTTTGAATGAGCAAGTGAAATAACGCTGATCATGTCTTCCTATTTACAGTGACCCGGCTTATAGGTAGGCCTACTTGTTGAAGAAGTAATTAATAAGTGACAAAAATAATAGTGTTATTTCATCTATCACCGAAAAGCTTAGGAACGTTCCTGTTTATTTTTGCAAAGTAGTGGTATTTCCCATCTCTACTATCAAGTAGATAAAAGATTGGTCTCTCAAACGAGAAGAACTACATCTGTCTCCTTATTGGAGTACTCTTTCTACGAAAAGCCAGGAAAGATTATTTAATTTACCAACTTAGTTGAGGCTATGATGAATGAGATATGATAACATTAGATTTTTTTATTATTTATAACAACTTAAGGTTGTGCCGATTTTGAAATCAAAAGATTTAAAATCCGCGACAGGCAATGGACAAGTCAGTCCAACATGACGTAACGCGGAAGGATACGAACTGGAAGACCGTTGGGAGCCGTGCCGTGTGCAAACGTCTCGTCGTCACTCGTGGTTCAGTGCTCGCAAAAACAACATCGTAAAGTCGCGTTTTGTCGCTGGTGTAGGACGATTTTATTAATATCTTCAATTCGTAGCTCGGAAATTCGCGTTCGGGCGGAAATTGTACGTGCATCAGTTGATCGCAATTGTCAAAATTTCGCCGAATTGCATATTGGGGGTGTGTTTTATTAGTATTAAGTCGAGACAGTTGAGATGCCGGATTGATTGTTCGCGTTCGTGATGAAAATTCGTACATGCATCATATCGATGGCAAATGTCAGTTTCTAGCGAATCGCGGATCGTCGTGACGGTATTTTTAATTGAATCATTAAACGCCAGCTCGAAAAAACAAGAATTAATAAGTCCTACACCAGAAAAAACCGTGTCGTGAAATTTCGCTCGGTCAGACAAAGTCACAAATCACCACGAGTCAGTTTTTAAATGTTCCGTCCGTGTGAGAGTGTATGTGAATGTGTCGACATGTGTACGTAAGTAAATGTTTTGTGTTATTTGTGTTTTAGTATTAAAATAGTCTTGCCAATCTGCCATTTTTCCACATGTACAAGTCATTTTTACCATTCAGAAATCATGTCATAGTTGGTCTGAGATTTTCATGTTTCACTTGGTCTGCTTAGAGCACATGGTCGGAAAATTCAGAAAAGTGTTTTATTAAATTTGTCATGTTACACAAAGAGCTAAGGTTGCATTAGATATTCTATTCAAATGAAAATTATTTATTAAATCAAATCGAATTGAAATAGCCTATTAATTTTAAGAGCAATGGTTATCTGTGATATATTATTATTTTTGTGTTTTATGTAAAGGGTCAAATTCTATCGTCAGTATTACTATTCTTAACATTTTGTATTTTCTTGTATTGTAATATTTTTGATCAGAGTATCGCATTTTTATTAGTGAGAGTTTGATTGTGTAGAGTAAATGGGGGAAACAAAGTGCTCGGTCGAAGGCTAGGGTTGATAAAGGGTCATGAGGATGGACTCCCATTAAATTCATAAAGTGTAAATATTAAATAAAAGTCGTCAATTAATCGACTCAGTAGTCGATTGGCCCCGTTGCATTAATCAACAATGGAGTGATGTAGATCACAAGACTATGTAATGTTCCCTGTTGCATTGAATTGTAAACTGGCCAGTTGATATACATATGAACATCTTTGGGGAGTCTGGTGGCCTAAAATAAATAAATAAAGTTGTCAAGGCTAGGTCATCCCGAGACTTTGTAGTTTTAAAATGTGGCAAACCACACCAAACTCAACTTACAATCAACTCTCTCACTCTCTCTTTCAAAATATTGCTAAATTGTGCACAAAAGGTTATTACATTGTTTATATTTAAAATTTGTATCACAGCTCAAGATTATCAACTCATTATACAGCATTTTTACAAAAATCCATCTTTTCATTCACCTGTGTTTCAGCTAGTATTATTAGTATAAAACTGGTAAATTTAAGAGGTAAATGGCTTAACTGAAAGAAGTATACAAAGTATACACAATGAGTGTTGATGATCACATTTTGTAAATATATTTTGACAGTGCAATTTTTATAAGTTCAGTTCATAATATTTAATATCAAGTTGGTGAATTCATGAGTAATCGGCTTAACCTAATCCATATATATAAACATCTTGAAGTCATACTTTTGATAAATATTTCCTGAACAAACAGTTTCATAAATATTTTCAATCAATATTTCAATATCATTATTTGCAATTTTACAGTTTTACAGATTGTCAATTCATGTCACAATCTTTCACCAGAGTAGTACATTTCAATTCATAGAGTGTTCAAATAAACACATCTATTAGTTTTTAAGAAGTGTTAGAATTAAGCTGAAGAAGGTGTGAAGGAGGACAACTAATCAGATCTCTCTCGATCCCCCCCTAAATGGACTTCTGGGGTATTTAATTACAAGGGCCCACACTAACATCTTTAATTCCACTGCGCACTGCTCTGTAATTATATGTCCTCATTAGTTCAATTGAATATAAAATTAAATTTCATTAAAACCCCACCAGGGGGCAACTTTTTGTTATACTCACACCTGTATGGAATACCTAAATTGTATTACATAAAGGTGTGAGGTGATTTTATTTGATGGAATGATCAGTTAAGAGAGGAAATAAAGTAGTTGTATTTCCTTACAAGAATATAAGTAAAGAATTTCTTTTTTCTCTTTACAAGGATGATCCTTGCGTTTTGATAGTGAAGCTATAAGGAGTGATAGTAAAGCCAAATGATAAAAAAAATAAATCATGAGTAATAAAAGTCTCTGTTATAATAACCAACTGTGAACTTTGAGATAATTTTATATTTATGGTACATACTTTACATATACTCTCTGCATATATTTCTAACAATGACCTACCTAATACAAGAACATGTAGAGCTCTTACAGCCAGGTCATTTTCTGTCACACCGTAGAATGTCAAAGTTTCATTGAATTCAGGATTGCGTGTTTTATGAACAGTTCTTGTACGCAGTCTATGGGACTGAAAAAAACATACCTTTGAACATATGAGTGGAGTTGGAAACTATATGAAAATGATGTCATGAAATTTACTAGACCTAAAATCCTGTAGAATCTAACTATTTTTTCTAGGGTAAAGTAAGATAGTTATTGTTGTGTGTGATATTGGTTGAAACCCAAGCCATATTTATATAGATAATTTGTTAATCACATCTGTCTCTAAATACTTCAAATTTACCTTCCTATTCACTGGTTCTTGGCAATAAATTATAATCATTGGAATATCAATGTACAAAAACAAAAATCCATTGTGCAAAGTAAAACACCAATCTTTTAGTACTATATAAAATAAATATGATAATTCAGATTACAGTAAAGCCTTACTTAATGGGAAAAAATAAAGACAGGACTGTTCTCATCACGTAGTCATCTATTTTAAAGAATATTTTATAGCAAAGTTTGTGTATTGTATTTTTGGACTCTCCTCTCCTAAGTCAGACAGTGAATGTTTTTGTTTTATATGTCGTCAACTGTACAGAGTCCAATCTCGTTTCTTGTTGAAATAAATATTTGATCAGGTTGTCGAAACAACCATAATGTGCAAGGTCGGTAACCTCCAAAGTGATTTTGGCCTCTAATGTAAAAGTATATATAAAAATATGTTTACTACTGTTACACGTATTAGTGTTTTTTTAGCGAATTTCAATTCAGAACCAAATTCAAAATCAATTCAGACAAATGGAAATTTGCTTAGTCGGCAGGTTTGCTGCGGCGGGGTTATTTTTATTTCTGATACTTTTGGTTAGTTATTTCAATAAAATTCAGAAAAAAAATTAAATTTACTAAGCAGTTATTATTATTAAATTAAAATACATTTACAAACTTACTGTGAGGTACTTTGTGTCATTCCTAAAAAATAAAGTTGCAAAGACTAGTTGAAATAATCATTTCAAATCATGAATAATAATAAACAAATTGTAAAACTAAATTATTATACTTACTTTTATTCCTAGAGGTAACAAATTCAATTTGCAGAATGGATCAGACAAACCATTTATATCCATGGGTTTGAGATTCTGTAATAATTAATCAAATTAGTATAAAAATGTGCATTGGTAAATTTGAAATGTGACACTGACATGAAAGAAACACTACTAAGAATATTTGTATTTAAAAAAACAATGCTGCTAAAGTTGCTGATTTAAAATACTGCATGTGTATTTAAAATTCTTGTTATTTCAGTGATACAGATACTGAACAGTCATGAACATAGAGCTAAAACTCGGCCAATGATATATATAGTCTGGTGAGTTTGCTTGTTTCTACAAACCAGATGAAGTAGTGTAGAGATAAATTGGAGCGGATTATGCTTTGTAATGGCAGAAAACACGCTTTTATAAATTGTTTTAATTTGTTTGGTCTAAAATCAATGAGTTTAAAATTATAATGTACACTCAACCTCAAAGTTAAAACATTTTGTTTCATTTATAGTCAATATTGTAGGCCAAATATAGACTAAATAAAATATATGAATGGGAAGAAAGAAACTAAGTGGAAACTCATATGAGCAAATTGGTTAAACCTTACCTTGGCACGGTGAAGGGAAACATGAATTGAGCTTGCGACGGAATCATAGACCAAAGTGAGTTCTAGGAGACCTAGGTTAGCTGTGAAGAAACAAACTTATCAGAATAATTAAATAAAACACAAAGTAAGGCGATAATTCTTTATGTAAATTATTCCGGTGTTATGACTACACCAAGCACTAAAAGGATCTATTACAGGGAGGTTATGATCTGGATTTGACAGAGGGTCAAGTTTATTGGTGTAAGACGTACTGTTAATCATATTTAAGCCAGTTACTGGGAAGAAGTTTATAGACTTTGATAGCCTGCCTGCACATAGAGTCATCTAGATTTGAGCTATTGCTAGTTGAATAATGATTTTGTCAACCTCCAGTTTGGTAACCACTTATTTATATTTACCTTAATACTACAGAGACATTTCAAAATATACAAATTTGTAACTGTGAGGATCTGGAGTTTCTTGAACAAAGGTTTACAGTGCTCCAAGGGACCCAAGCTAGCTAGAATCCTGAGAGTGGTTTTATTTACATTCAGTGATAACATATTGGCAAAAAACCACTTGGCTGCCTCATAAAAACCCCAACTCTATCCCTTCAATGGCATTGATGAGATTCTTACCACTGACAACCAGGGTAGTGTCCTCAGCGAAAATAATGGAACAACATGAGATGGATAAGGTACAGTAGAATCCCAGTTAATCAAAATAAAGTGGGGGGAGAACCGTCTTGAATAACCAATTTTCCGGCTAACCCGTCATATGCTAAAAATAGCCAATGTATGTAGGAAAAATTAATTTAAAACAATGTCTATAAAATACAGTGTTTTACTTCAGCTAAAAATGTTTACAATGGGTTAGGAAAGCCCCTTTCTAGAGAGATGGGCTCGGTGTTACACCTCGCTGTTTACATAGTAATTAATTGTACTTATATTTTAGCCCTATATTAATTTATGGAACCGTTTTGGTTAACCGGGGTTCTTCTGTAAGTCATTTATGAGAATGAGGAAAAGGAGGTGACCCAGACCAAAACCTTGAGGGACTCCATGGTAGACAGGTAAGGGATGGGAGATGCTTCCTCTGAGTCACACAGCCTGGTGACGATTACAAAGGTAAGACTTTATCATTTTAAGGCTAGGGCGCCCATACCATATATGGCCAAAAAAATGAAAATAAATGCAATACCAGAAATGTCCTGTAATTTATTTCATTAATGAAAAAATGTAAAAGCACATTTCATAATGATCATTACAAACAGTTTATTTTTAATTAATGTTTAAATCAAATAAGTAGTTGAGCCACAATATATGTTGTACCACACTTATTCTTGAACAAAACTATTCAGAAAACCATACATAAACGTTTTTGGTTGTAATTGACTTTATTCAACTGTAAATTTATGTTTGATCCTTTTTAATTGTTAGCTCATGGATTATTAACTATTAATAATCACTTAAATTTAAATACCGTAGCTTATTAATGTTTAATGTTGGCATAAAAACAATTACTTGATGGGCATTAAACTATTTATTATTTTTAATTTGTTATAATTTACATTTTATTTGGCATTTTTATTTGGTAGCTACCAATAGTTACAAATAGTGTAAAGATATAAATTTTAAAACACAATATTTTTTTTAAGTTTTTGCGGGAAGGCCCCCGGATGTTTATGATATATTGCACCCCCCTGTTCCAAATCATGTGGGCGCCTAAGGCCGCTACAGTTAAAAAAATATATATTTTAATGAGTGAATTTTCAATGTACTGCGATCGCACATGACAACAGTGATGTTTCCATGACCGCGGGAGACGATAATAAGTTTACACACGGCCGTGAAGGATGGTCAGAATTTTGCCACGATCGCAGTAGTCGGTGATTTGAAAACTAAACTTACTGTATATTATGCAATGTTTTATTCCATCATGCAGTATGGAATTGAACTATGGGGCTCAACTTCATATGCTGACACAGTTTTTTAAAAAACAAAAGAAGTTTTTAAGAATCCTATCTTTTGCACCAAAAAGAACATAATTTAAACCTATTTTCAAGAAATATGACATATTAACAATGTCTTCTCTTTATACATTCAAAATGATGGTTTTTTTTAAAAGTAACTACCAATCATACGACAGCAATCAATTTATCCATCAATATCCTACTCGTTTTAAAAATAATTTGAAATATTCAATACATCGCCTCTGTCTGTATGAAAGATCACCATTATATATGAGTCTCAGGCTTTACAACAGTCTACCTACCAAATTCAGGGAAATTACCAATATTTCAAAATTCAAAAATGAGTTTAAAATGTACCTCTTAGAAAAACAGTTTGACTCTACTTCAGAATATTTAAATAACAGTTAACAAATTTTCTATTACAGTACATTTATTTAGTTTTTTTTTTTTTTGAAATGTATTGTAAATCTAGTTTTAATAATGGACAATGTCACCTGTTTCACCAGCATTGCTGAAAACTTTGAATGTATCTGTGACAATAAAGGAATATTTAATTTCATTTCATAATGTCTACACGACAGCAGGAAAAAATCAGATTTTGGCCTCATTCGTGGTAAACGATGATAATCTCCCCACGACTGTGGGATATGTTTATATATTGCCGCAATCATGGAAGAGGATAAATATGTCTACATGACCGCAGGAAAAAGTCAGAATTTGGCCGTGATCGCGGGAGACGATGTTGATGTCTACACAACCACAGGAAAAAGTTAACATTTTGCCACAATGGCGGTAGACGATTACGATGTCTAAGATAAGATAAGATAAGATAAGATCTTTATTTCCATTAGATATTCTTTTGAATACATTGGATATGTCAGGTTACAATATATAATCTATACAATAATAAATTGAACAAAGGGCTCACCCATCTTACACAAAATCATTGCAAGTCAATTTTTTTGTCAAATATTCATCAATTGAATAGAATGCATTTGCAAGTAAAAACCTGATTACAACAGTTTTAAATTTAATAATGTCCATGTCCCTAATAGCAAGGGGTAGCTTATTAAATAACCTTATGGCTAGTACAGATGGCTTTTTCATTGATTTACTTAATCTAACATAAGGCAATTGTAAGTCATGTCTTATTCTAGTGTTGTAAGAGTGCACGTCATTATTATGCACCAAATCTGGTTGATCTTTAATGAATAGCAAGTTTTGCAGAATAAAGGCAGAATAAAGAGTTAAAATTTTTAAATTAACAAACCATGGTTTACAGTGAGTTTTATAATGAACTCCTGCAATGATTCGAACGGCACGTTTTTGTAGGATAAAAACATCTTTTGATGCTGAGGCAGTGCCCCAGACAATCAAACCATAAGTAATCTTAGCATGAAATAAACCAAAGTAAGCTGTTCTAACTACATTTTGCGAGACGACACCACAGAGTCTTCTTAGAGCAAAAATGTCACAAGCCAATCTCATGCATAATTCCGATGAGTGATCCAACCAAGAAAGAGTAGGATCCAGCCGGACACCAAGGAACTTGGCTGAAATGCCCCCCTCCTCCTTGGTAAGATCCCTCAGGCCAAAAAACTACAGCCGCGAAGGATTATCAGAAGTTTACCGCAATTGCATGAAAATGCAACCACCAAGTTTTTTTTATTTTATAGTTTTTCGCGCCCCCCACCAAAAGCCAATTGCCTCGTGCCCTAGGCATGTGCCTATTCGGCAAATCGGCCCTGCTTGTTCGGAAAGAAGAAAAGAAACTTACAGTTTGTTTTTTTATGATAAATATTGAAGTTTTTTTTAACATTTTATCTTATTTTACCGTTCTTCCTTTCACTTCATGTCACTTGGTTCAATAAAAAGTGTGAGTAATTGATTAATGTGTTTATTTCCCTTGTATATGAAGTATCATGGCTTAATTTAGTGTTTCCCAAGTTGTATTGGTTTTTTAATGAATAAATATTTAACTTTTTAGCTGATTGATCTTTGTATCATCTATGCTAAATTATAAATTTTCTTCGCTACTGCTTGAAGAAAAATTTCCTTAAGGTAGCCAAAAGTAGCCTAAAAACACGTGTAGATGCTTCTAATTTGCTAAATTATTCCGGTGGACCCAGACCCGGATGTGGAGTCAAACCAGATGCAATCACAGGCTGCCCCACTGTACAATTTTATATTATGGGCACCCATGTTTTAAGAACTTTTAATAGCTTTAGAAGTAGTGACCTTGCACTATACAAAGTCAACAACATATTTGGTGTAGAATTTCAACTTACCATCTAGAGAGGTGGTCTGTTCTATAGGTTCATCAGGAATGTTAAGACTACATTTCTGCCCATTGAGAGAACTTCCTGAGAGGGAGAACCGATCAGAATCAGAATACCAGCCTTGGCTTGTCAGAAGACTTAGTTGTGAGTTCTGTCTACTGAAAAACACATCTTATCAAAGTAATTTAGAGGAAATTAAATAACCTATTTACCACAGCATCTGTCATAGCATACAAACTTGTATTTAAACTAGAAAAAGTTTGAGTCAGATTAATCCAATACTTAATACTTAATCAATACTTATCAAGTTCTCAGAGTGTATATCATTTTATGGTGTGTTGATGGCGCTGTTAGTAGCACCATTTATTTGAGCACTTAAAATTTATCATTACATTTGGAGTTCACTCTTGTACAGTGCCGGCTCACTTCTTGCTTTGATAAGTTCCACGCACAGACAATTGAGGTCCATGTTGATAGGAAAATGCAAGATTAATAGAGGCAGCTAACTTTTTACACAAGAAAAATTAAACTTAAGACATTTGATAACATCCATCAAATATTTAAATTGTAAAGTCATTACAACACTATCCGATTCACCTGGAAATCAATCAACAGACAATAACTTATTTTAACTGTAGTAATTACAGAGATGGTCTGATAATAAATCTATTTTATGACAAGTTGAAACTTCAAATTTGTGATAAATTTAAAAATTTAACCTCTGATACTTGTAATGTACAACTTTGGTCCGGTAAATGCTGCAGGAAATTAAATGAACAATCTGGGGAACAAACCAAACCTATTAAGTCATACAATCATGGCACTCATGGAATCAAACCGGGCTTTCTTTCACCAAAGTCCAAGATACTAATCATTAGGCTGGAAAGCCATAGGACACCCAAATTTGTAAAAAAAATGTATAACTTAAATTACTATTTAAAATTTATAATTACTAGTGAGATAAATCTATCCATAATGTATAAGTAACGTATGATGAAGAAAATAACTATCAACCTGTGTGACAAGAAGGAGGGGGAGTAATTGAAGTCTTCGGTGGCTCCGTTGTTCATGCGAGGACTGCGGGATGCTGCAGAGTCAGAACTATGGGTCAGAGTGTGGTGGTTGACTGTTTGACTAGTAGAACTACCAGACTCTGAACTCTCACTAGTCTCACGTCTGTAGGGGGTCGGCATCCCCCTTCTAGACCCCCCTATCACTACCTTCGACCCAACTGTAAGAGATGGTTATAGCATTATTTTATATACCAAACATGCATCCATTTCATGAGAGAGAGTTTTTTATTTCTCAAGAAAACCCTCAACCATAGTCCACTGATCAGTGTGGTGTGTATTGATCTAAAGACTGTGAAGTAGCCTACTGCTACAAGTCCCATAGGCACGGCAGTAGTGACCGCAGTGATAGAATAGTACAGGCGGCTAATCTCAAACCAGCAATGTCTGCCGTATAAGCCCAAGACATGACCATTTCCAGTAGCTAGACAAAATATATTTCTAATTGGGTTTGTGTAAAATCTTCAAACACAATTCAAACAGTTGCAGGAGATGCCAAAAGGTTGTAGTTAACCTTTGGGATTTCGGTTTCTAGTTTGAATTATCTAAGATGGCCATTAACCTGGAGATTGAGCTAGCATTCACGAATAGGCCGCAGTTTGCAAGTGATGCGCTATGGACCTACAGTCTGTATACCATAGGGTGGCGCACGGGCGTTGGTGGGTCCTTATTTCCCGTCGCTCATAACTGTTTCCTCGAAGCATCACCAACCAGCACCCCCAATGCAATTAAAAAAAAATTTCCTTCTCGTAAATATCCTTAAAAATATAAAATTTGTTTATTACTAAGAAAACTAAGAAGAGTGATATAAATATATATATATAAAAATAACAAAATGTCCGAAGGTTAAATTTTTAGCCGTACTATAGTTGTACTTTAATGCTATTTTATACTTCGTATAATATCATAATCTTCTGACAATATTTAATTTTTGTTTACTTTGAAAAAAGGGGAGAATGATATAAAACTAAGCTATCGCATCACATCGTATTCAATCAGCCAAAGTATCATGAAATCATGAAATTGACCCATACTCGACTGAAATCTGTCCTACACCCTGGACAACCATTACGGCAGCCCAGTTTGTATAATACTCTACCCCTTTGCTGAAAAACACTAGCGAGTCCTGAGTGGAGAATTTTTATTTCAGCTGCGTTTTTTCGATACGGACGAAATGAGAGCATTCTATTAGCTGTCATGGCGTGACGTCACTCTCTTCTCTTGAGGGAGCACCATTACCGCAACAAAACGAAGTGCAGCCATTGGTGTTCTTGGTGTAGTGGATAGAGTACTCGGCTGATAAACAAGAGGTAACCAGATCGAATCCCACCGGTAAATTAACATTTTGTCAAAGATTTTGCTTAGAATGTGATTACTTCTTAACCATTCATCTTTTGTTATAATTTGAGGAATTTATAATTTTATTTTATAAACAGAACTATTTTTTCGATTAGTAAACCATAATTGGATTTTTTCATTATAAGCAAGTTAGGTTAGTTAGGTTAGGTTATGATAGTTTGATTTTATAATTGATATAGTTAAAATAATTGATTATTTAAATCCAACTGAGTCAACAAACAACAAAGAGTGACATCTCAACCATCAAGAGAGGAGAGTGACGTCACGCCATGACAGCCAATAGAATAATCTCATTTCGAACGTATCGAAAAACCGCAGCTGAAATAAAAACTATGAGTTCCTGGTACCTATTACAATACGGTTAGTCATCCTCAAGTTCAATGTCTGACCAGGGTCGTTGTACTTATGTACGACCGTGCAATGCATAAATAGGAGAGGGGAAATTAAAGGTTACTAAAAAGAATGATTTTTTTTAAGTTTAGAGTAAATTCAGTAAGATTCTGTCAATACTATTTAAAACCTGAAGATGCCGAGAGTTGTCTTGTAGAATTTAATGGTATTTTAATCCTTAAATAGTGTAACATAGTTTTCTAATGTTCCTCTATTTCAAAGTAAAAAATAAATATTGTTTAAGATTGGGATATCATATAAAGACTTAAGTAAATAATTGTACAAAGTATAATTATAATACAATTGAAAAGTTAGCTTTTGACCATATAGATATTCTTAATCAAAACACATCGTGTGTTATATCACTCTTATTAGTTTTTTAGTAATTTACGAATATTTGTTATATTCGCATATTGGTAATAGTAGTTGGGGGTGCTAGTTGGTGACTCTTTCAAGAAACAGTTGCGAGCGCCGGTCCATGCGCCACCCTATGGTATACAGACTGTAAGAGATAATTGCAACCCTCTCCACATTGTCTGCGAATTCCTCTCTTCCTTGCAACCCAAACAAACATCTTCCTTTAGTACATTTTTGATAAAACCTACTACCCACCTACTGCTCATTGGAAGTTCTTGAACCAACAATGGAATACTGATAGAAAAATAATTTAAAATTTCTTAATAACTCTTTGTATTACCTGATCGATCGTCAATGCTAGGTACTTCAGCTGTTAAGTCAACGGAACGAGCTCCAGGACTTCGTTTTTCAACTGGAGATACTTGCCATAAACTGGAATAACCAAGAAAAATTAAGTTTTTACATGCTTAATTCCTGTCTGTTTGATTTTTAATAAAAAAAAAATATATATAGCAAGCCTTACACACTCATGGATACACTAGTTTATAGTTATAAATAAAATCAATTCCAGAAGTCATTCCATTTTATTATTGTAATTCAAATTAAGATTTTGAATAATGAAAACATCATCAAGTAATGCCTTTACATGTGAAAAAGCTTGTCATGCAATAGATTTCGAATTTGTAACAATTTAATGTAAAATATATTACATTATATGGCAGTGAAAATAACTGGCCGATTGATAAGGCGGGGATCATTCTTTCAAGGTGTAACACTTTAGTTTAAAACATTAGAGGACTCAACAAGGGGACTCCCCACTGATTTAAAATTTCTGAAAAGTAAAAATGTGATGTAGAAAGTGAAAAGGGAATTCTTACCGTCGATGCAAAATTTTCAGTACGGCCGATATAAGTTGTTTGAAAATATCGGAACTCGGTTTTCTATCGATTTTTTTACCTTATTTAACATAGAACAGGACGGTATTGTTTAAAATATCAAATCGAAGATGTAAAAGGTCGAAATAAATAATTCTGTTAGCCTCTGCGCGGTCTGAGAAAAGGTACCTCTTTTCGCTCAATGTTATTTTGCCATAACTACAAGAGGTCCGATTTTTCTATTCACTTTTTAGTCCAAAAAATGAATAGTCCTGCATTCTAGAGGAAATTTAGAGAACTACAACAAAGTTCAGTTTACTGAGAACAAAATATCTCACAAATTTTGCGGTCCCGACAAGAATGAGGTACCTTTTCAAAATCAAAAATTCCCACGAGAGGTCCCTTTTCTTTTCACTTTCCACATCACAAATAATAAAATATTGAAATCCCGGGATTGATCCCGAGATCGACTTGGACAAATCCCAAAATACTGTGATTGGATAAGAGCCCCGAGATAGGCTATATTGAATTTTAAGATATCCTCACCTTGACTGGCTTTGATTCACAGGTTCATCGTTTCGTTTGGAACGTGAGGATAAAAGACGAGACGCTCTCTCTTCATCAGAACTTGACTCCTCTTCTGCCTCCAATGATCCTAAAAATAAGGATTGTTCATGTTTTCTGCTGATTTGATAACAAAGCGATTATTGAATCAATATGTAAGTAAGGTAAGTTAAAACACTAGTTTCTACAATTTTTTTTACGTCGGCTCTAGTCCAGAATCGGACATACAGTAGACTCTTGATAATTCGAAATTGGTGGGCCAAGCATATAATTTTGAATTATCAAGTGTTTTGAATTATCAAGAGTTCGATTTATCGGGAGAAAAATAAACCATTCGAATTACAGAGAGTTCATTTGTTTAATACATACAAAGGTACAGCACGTCACAATAAAACATCATACTGTACCGTATTTTAGTACACAATCAACGGCTCATTTTTCAGTTACTGTAGTTGCAAAGAAATTTGTTATTTAGCACTATATATTTCGCCAATAGCTGAACTATCAGCTGTCGACAACTACATTTGTGCTCAAGGAGATGTCGCGCAATCTAGAGATCGGATTGCCAACTTAGAAAAACAAGTCAGCGAACTAACTCAGACTTAAAACAAACATCAAAACGTCCAACACTAGCCTACCATGGGAACAGGATGTACTGTACTGTATAGTTTCCTGTTATAACAGGAAGAGATCACTTCGAATTATAGAGTGTTTTACCGACTAACTTCAAATTACTGCGTGACTTTGATTTATAGAGTGTTTTTTCGACGAAACTTCGAATTATAGAGTGTTAACCGACGAAACTTCGAATTACTGAGTTACTTCGAATTATAGAGTGTTTTTCCGACGAAACTTCGAATTACTGGGTGTTGCAAATTGACCTGCCCTCTATTTGGACTTTCTCTAGGGACTGAGCCTTCATTTTGAATTATCGAAAGTTTTGAATTATCAAGTGTTTGAATTACCAAGGGTGGACTGTATACTTCACACACACACACACACACATCACACATTACTTCAGGCTAGGCCTCAAGATCCCGGTATTATAACTTAGATAAAGTCCATTGGTGGTTAACAGGACTTGAACCTGGCACCTCGTGGACCAAAGTCGCATGTCCTACCACTCCCTTAGAACTTTAGACCCTAGATAAGTTAACATCACAAATCCAAACATCAAGTTATCAACTCAACTTATGTTTAATACTATTAAAACTCCATTAGTCAGTTTCATTGAGTGTTGAGTTTTAGAAAGAAAACATTGAAAACCTCACCCTCATAAATACATTACATTTGTAAATTGATGCTATAGATGTCCTCCCGTTATTATTGCAATTAATGAAAGATAATTAAAAATGCAAATGTCATCAAATGATGCCATTCACATTTACAGTAGACTCCCTCTTATCTGGACACCTTCTAACCGGACATCGGTTTAACCAGACTATTCTGCGGAAATTACATCTCTTTAACCGGACAATTTTTATTAGCACTCCGGTTCAACCTGACTAGATCGGCAGGAAGTGGGCGGTACTGAAACGACTGTTCTCCTGGAAAATATTTGAGAGCAGTGATCACAAGTCTCAATACAACGCTCTCCTAAGTTTAAGTCAAATATGTATACAGTATGCATTCAAACGGTCAGTTTTAACGAGTTTTTGGGGACATTGGTTCAACCGGAAAACCTGTTATCTGGACTGGCCTCGGTCATAAATATCTACTGTAGATATGAAACTCTTAGTATGAAGAGACTTTCTAACCTGTAACCTGTTCATTTACAAAAAGTTTGATTTTCAAACGATGGATAGAACTAGCAGATTGATGAGGTGGACTCCATTAAGTAAATATTAAAATAGGATCAGATTAATCACAGATTTTATAGTTTGGTTTATTCAACCCAAAACCAATAATAATAATATAGTAATAATATAACTCTGTAATATTACTAAAACTGTTCATTTTACACGATTTATCTTGCCTGTTTGTCTCCTTTATTGTATACTTACTCATATTTGAAGCTCTAGACCAATTTTTCTTATCAAAACCAGCTCGACTTCCATACAGGAACTTATTTTCAGGAGGTTTCTTAACAGGGAGAACATGTTTAGGAATAGCCTGAAACAGAAAATCTGATTGCATGTTAATCCTTAAAACGGTGGTTTACCAATCTACTATCAACATAGGTTATAGTACAGGGTTTTTCTAAATGATGGACCCATTTTTAATGCTTTATAATTTTTATACTATTAAACTTACCGCTATAAAATACACATCAAACGAAAAAGCAACTCAAAGAGTTTATGCCTTCCAAAGACACATCATTTAACAATATCGATCCAACAGAACTGTAGATTTAATTGTACAAAGTTAAAAAGTAATCTCCAACATTTTTTTACCACTAGAAATTTGGAGGTTACTTGGCGTTTTTGCAAATAACTTTTAAATGGTGAGGAAATCGACCAAAGTGGAAGGTAATATTCCGAAAGAGAATAAAATTTCCTACAATCTACTATTGCGCATATCTTGAAAATACTCAATAAATGTAGCCTAAATTTGGCTTAAAATAAAAAAGTGTGAAATTTAATGTTTGCTATGTTTATTGTCTACAATTGAAGACAGTGATTTTCATTTTTTTTTTCATTTTGAGGCAATTTTTGGTACCTTTCTTGGTCTATGATAGGAACTATCAATGGGCTAAATTACGTGAATTGCCTTCTCTGTATTGCTATCCAACCTGTCAAAAACAAAAACTATTTTTGCCCAAGTTGTATTCTATCTGCAGTAGTCTGAAACTAACATTTTTAAAACGACATTTTAAAATTCTTGTTTTCCCCCATAGCATTTATATTAAAAGGGTGGAAGTTCATTAGTAAATATATATATATCAAAATTACTGTATTATTTTTTACTGCGAAATTACTGAAATAACCGAATATTTTTGAGCATGTAACTTAACTGTAATCAGTTACATTTTGGAGCGTGTAATCAGTTACATTTTGGAGCGTGTAATCAGTTACATTTTGGAGCGTGTAATCAGTTGATTTAGAAGCATATATCTTGTAACTGTGACTAGTTACATGTTTTAGTAACTTTCCCAAGTCTGATCTATTATTAAATGCTGGTAAATTTATTAAACTTTAAGTATTTTATAATGAAATAATCTAAAGGAGAGGGATCTGCTGCTTAGTTGGAAAACACTATAGTGAAGACAGTTGTTTAAAAAATTTGTAGGTGTTAAAATTTAAAAATTGAGGAAAGTACCTTAAAGAACCAAGCTCCAGATTTTTTCCACATTTCTCTGGTTTCAGAACAAATTTTACACCTCCATACTACTTCTTTTCTTGATCCAGAATAACTTTCAACACCACATTTCTGGCATACCATCTGAAATAAATAGAGTTAAAAAAAATTAAGGTTGGAACTGGTACACAAGTACCATATTCATTTACAACCTTAAGTATTTTATTCACTTACAAATCGTTATTTAATCGTTATTGTATCGTTATCTAGTGCGCGAAGTGCACCCAAGAAATTTTCCACACTTACCTGCGGCTCGGTGTAAACAATTCTCTCATGTGCAGTAAAGGCACTTTGAGCTCACGTTACGCATTATATTTTTCCTACAGTTACTATAAAGCATATAAATAATTAGTCTTTCAAACACTAAACAACACATTTTAGGTTAGGTTAAATCCAAGTGTTGAACAAAAATAGAGTGTTGAGAACTGGTTAAGTTGTAGTATCAATACTCAAAGGCTGTGAAACGCTGCATCAGCTGATCATATTCTTAGTATCTTTAAGAACCAACTTATTTTCAAGCTTAGGCCTACTTGTATTAATTGCCTTATAAAAGCACACTGTTTTGTGTTGTTTGGATGGAATACTGGAGTGCCACAAAGTAAAATGAGCAAAGAGTGTCAAAGTAAAATGAGTGTGGCAAAATAAGTAAAGGTATAAATTAGCTACTTTGCATGCTATAATCAGTGCAGTGAAGTCTTCTTGGTCAGGTAACTGTAGGAAAAATATTTTTTGGTTCTAAATGCAAGTCTTATAGAAACGTTTGAGAACCCCTGCCTCATAAGAAAGTCAACTGTTAAAGCTTTAAAGTGTAACACTTTCAATTAAGAAAATCACAACAAAACCCAATATGTTGTTGTAAATTAATTCTTAATAAAAATTTGTGAGCCAAGATAAAATAGAAAGATTGAATGTGAAATGAGATTTGAGTAAAATTTTAGATTTGTATGTTGGTGATAAACTAAGAAAATTATGACCAGAATGAGGATAAGGGAATTGAGATAATGAAGAGAAACATTTAAACTCCTGCATTATTCAGCATTATTATCTGAATGATATTGCCTAGCTGTCAATGTCAACAATGCTTTGTCATCAAATTAAAGATGACGGATTAGTAGTTTAGCTAGCGTTATTGTAAGTCAGTTACACATCACACAATATGTAGTGTATTGAACAACAATGAAACATTTGAGTGAGTTTGAAACAATTGTAGGCCTACTTAATATATTCATGTTTAAGATACTCTGTACCAAAATACATTATTGGTTTGGATTGTGAAATGTATATAAAAATAACAATTTAATAACTCAATGATTCGCCCCCTTGAAATAATACATTGATTGGACAAGTGTAAGCGTTCTAAACTGTTGTTTGGATGTGTAGATTTTTCAACAGCACAGAGTTATCTAAACAACAATAAGCTGGTCTCTTTGTTATGTCCAACTTTTGTTCTGTAAGTCTGCTTTTTTAATCTAAAGTAAGGTAAAAACTACATTATACATCAGTCCCATTATAGTACAGCATATTAAAACCACATAATTGAGAATTAGAAATCAGTAAGCTTTTATGAGTTAGAAATAGTGCTTTATTTTTAAGATTTAAAAAGTTTTAATTAGAACCTACCGGGAACTTTGACCTATTCATTTCCATCCTCTAAACTCATCTAAATCCCAATTCGTCCTTCTTCCCCATTAAGAACAATTATGCTTTAAAAAATCAATAAAATGGGAAGATAGGGTGGATGAAAAAATTATGCTATTTTATTACTTGTTATGTTACAAACTGTATTGTATTTTTTGTTGATATTTAGTTTTTAAGGTTTTTATTATTAGTTTTTAAGAGGTGTAGGTTCGCCTTAATAAAGAAGGGGGATTTTCATTTAATTTCATTTAAAATTATTCCCAACATTAGTGTATTTGTTTTAGAAATAATGTTGAAATCAGTTTTAAAACTCAACATACTTTTTACAGAAGGGTCCAGAAATGCCGTTCGATTTGTGTTCCCCCCGGGTTTCGGGAGTGATGTAAAGTATATTTTCAGGTTATGCAACTTTGCACACATATTTGAACAAGCCTTTTTTACAGTTAACAAAGTGACAATAAGTCTGTTGTATGAATAGGGAATTGAAATGACTGAGAAATTAATATTGAAACAAAAATATAATAAGTTTGGAATTGTGCAATGATAATATTGATTAAATCATTTCAAAACTTTTCAAAATTTAATTAAGACTAAATGACTGAGGCTATTTTACAATTTCCTCATGAAACCCCATATAAAATTAAATCTACAGCACAGGGTGTTCATAAAGGGATGTCACAAATTTCAGGGGCTGATAGCGGAAAAAAAAAATTTGTTGAGTCGCTAGCCACCATTATGTATTTTGTACCAATTTATATCTCAAGAATTATTCAAGCTACGGAAACCAAACTTTGCACATTCATTTATTGTTGCCAAGTGTGCCAAATTGCCAAGCGGCAATTTTTTTTTTTTTTTTTTTTTTTTTTTTTTTTTTTTAAAGAGGTTGGCGGCCTCTTTTAACCTTGCATTTGCCTGTCCACATAGACTAAGCGCCCGTGCGTGGATCGTTTACAGCAAAGCAAGGAGTGAGCCGGTACAGTACAAAGGTGAACTGTACTGATAAAATGTTATCGGCAGTGACCAGGATCCGAACCCACGACATCGCTGCCTTGGGCCCGAAGTCCGCGACGCTACCGACTGAGCCACCGACTCACTATCGACTCACTAATATTTTAAATATATTTGAAAAATATATTTAATTTTCTCAAATTTTCTTCAATAAATGTATGTGCAAAGTTTGGTTTCCGTTGCTTGAATAATCTTTGAGATATACATTGTTTTGTATAAAATACAAAATGGCGGCTAGCGACTAAACAAAACTTTTTTTGACCTATGTTTATATGAACTTTTTTGTTTAGATTGATGAGTACTATCAGTCCCTGAAGTTTACACCCCTTTATGAACACCCTGAATATTGTAATTCTTTTGCAATTCTTTTGCAATTCTTACAAATACATTTTTTGATAGAGCTTTGTCTTAAGACATAATTATAAGGTGTTTATACGCATAATCCAGCACCATGTTTAAGAATTCGGAAAGTTCTATTCTAAATCTGATAAAGGAAATAAAATAAACTAAAACATTCTTCTTCATTTCCTAGAATAAGCTTTTTGACAACGTTTATTCTTATTTTAAAAGGGTCTTGCATGTGTAACCCTAGAAACGATCACCATTGTTGTAGAAAATTGTGTCTCTATTTTCCTCATTTTACCTTGTTTGTAACACCTTGCAAAGTAAAATATGCTGTTGTCTATCTGAATAAACTTCATTTCCATAACCAGCAAAACTATAATAAAATTTTAATTTTTTTATAAAACTCAATCATTTACTTTAAAAAAGGCTATTTAAAAACACTAAATTTAATACTGAGTAGCACCACAAAAAAACATAAAATGTAGAAACAAAATAATAATTTTTATCAAATATAACAAAACTCTGCTCATAGTAATGACAACAGTTTTTAATAAATGTAGTCAAATATAATACCATGGCGAGTAAATTAAAATACCCACGCCGCAGCAAACCTGCAGACTAAGTAAATTTCAACTTGTCTGATTACATTTTTACTAAAATATTTCCATAAATATGACATGTTTGTTACCAATTTAAATAACATTAGATTTAATGAGTACTTAGGTTTGCTACTACAGGGAAGGTTAAAAGTGTTTTTTGACCAAAATTTAATAGCATAGGATGAAATAAATAAATTTGCCAAATATGATCAACATATAAACAAGTTAACTATAACAGTTTTAATTTTCTCTGTTAATAATAACATGGAAATTTTGAATTTAAACTTTTTTTATTTTCTCTGTAACCGTTAGGCATACAACAGTGCTTCATTATACTAAATTATGTATTTTTTTAAGCTCTACAAAATGGTTTATAAAGAAATTGCAAAATTTTATTTTTTTAGGGCCACTGCTAGTACGACAGATGCTACAAAATGTCATGCCTGGATTTCATCACAGATTTCGACAAGGTGGGCAAAACCAAGGACTGCCACCAAGGTGTGCCATTTTGCTGGCTCTGTATTCAAAAAAATAATAATTTGTAAGGTAAAACATTAATTTAAACTCACACACAACTTATGATAAAAAATTATCCCTTTTTCATAAATAAATAATTTATGATTTTTCTAAATTGTGCCGTTTCACAACCTCACCCTGTACATTTTGTGTTTGTGATATATGGGTTTTTCACCACGAATAAGAAGAATAATCTATCATTATTACAAAGAATCTTCAATGTGTCTTCAATAGTTATTTGGGTAACTAGTGAGCAAAGGCCTTATGCACTCGTTTTACACATTATATTTTTCCTACAGTCACTATAAAGCATATAAATAATTAGTCTTTCAAACGGGTCCGCGGAATTGGCTAACTCTGGAACTCGCTAACCCCATGTTAAATGCCCTATCTTCAAATTTGGTCGATGAGAGGAACTCGCTAACTTGTTCGGTTTCGGAATTGGCTAACTCCGGAACCCGCTAACCCCTTCTAGAGCCGGGTTAGCGAATTCCGTCCTCGTACGGAAGTCGCTAACTCGGTCCCTCGGCGGAACTCGCTAACTCCCAATCAGAAGCCTCGCGGGCCGTCCAATGGGAGCCAAGCACGAATATTTTTGGCCAGTGTTGCCGAAAGTGTAGTACCTATATCGTATCGGCACCATAATCTCGTATCCTACGATTAATTAGGAGTAAGAGCAACGTAGTCGATAAAATAAATATATTTAGAAGTATGTTTAACCACAGAGAAGTTCTTATGATTATTAGGGTGGAAATGCATTATAGTCTTACCATAGACTAACCAACACAAGTAAACTTTACATCCCATTTTAAACTTTGAAGCTCGTTTTTCGTGTCTAGTTCATGTCCGGTGACACTGATCGCTAGTGTCGACAAAATTGTGTTTCTATTATTTTATAGTTAACTTCATGATTTGTTCCTTACTGTTTGGTTATATAACTAGGGGACGTGTTATTAGTTGTGATTAGAACGTTTTATTTGGTTAAACGAGGTTTTAAATTACTGAAAACAAGAAACAATTGTAAACAAAACACGACCTCTAAAGACAGTGCACCGGACAGAACTAACAATACAACTGTCTTCAGATCATCCATAAGGATGAGAAATGTACTAATATAAGGGAGTATGTTTTATATGTGGGTTTCTTACTTAAATAGTAGCTTATTGGTATGAAAAAGATAAAAATGCACATTTAATTTGGATCTATTACATGTTATGAAATATCTATTTTCGTAGTCCGCCATTTGTTTCTTTTATTCGAATAAATACCATTTTGTGAACTTCTGCAAATAAAATTTTTGAGTTCGTATTTTATATACTGGGCTTGTAGTAACCTTAAATCATAAATCATAATAAAATTTACACGTTAAACGTCATTACAGAATTACATTGTAGTGGTTATGTATTTTTAAATAGAGCTATTGAATTTAAATAAATATTTATCAATACATTATAAAGTGGTAGGCCTAATGTATTCATGGATTGCATTAAAAGTTAGTCCATGCATAAATACAACTTGTAAATTTCTTTTATCGTAGGCTATTAGTGTAGAACCCGGGTCATCATCTTAATTTTGTTGAATTAATATTAATTTTACGTCTTTCAGTAGGCTTACTTTTTAAAAGTCTGGAGTTTTTTTCCAGGCTGAATCTATCTTATCCAAAAACAAAGCTCTTGTCTATTGTGTAGCTCAGTACTGATAGCTCAGAACGGTGAACCGAGCAATGGCTTGGTATAGTTTATATCGTTTGTGAAAGCAATATAAAGGAAACCCAACACTCAAATCAGGAAAATCCGTCAATTAGTTTATTAAAAATCGTGAATTAAAATAACCCTGTCACGTTTTATTATATGAATATTATATCTTCTCCTATTTTTTACTAGTGGTGCTTAGGTGTACAATCTAAAAACTGTTTTAAAACATGTAACATTATTGCTAAAAAATTCAACACATTTTAGAATTAGGCAACTATTTACTAGTAGGCCTACAATGCTTTGGTTCAAACTATTAGGCCTAGATAAAAACTTAGTCTATGTCATCATATTTGTACACGTAAGTTGGACGGTTCAACGACGAACATTTAATTTAAAATCTATGAATTAATTATGGAAGTTACGATGGTTGATGACTGTATTAATTAATGGTTTTGGTTTATTACGACATTACAATTAAATCTGTTTTCCGTGTTTAAGAACTTGCGTGTATTTTAGCTTATTTTCGTAGAGGTTTAATTATTTATTACCAATTAAACTAAATTTTGAATATTTTTCATATTCTATTATTTTCTTTTATACTGATGGCATTTATATTTAAGATCGAAATCATAAACATTTAATTGGCCATTGTACAGTTTAATAAAAAACACTTTTTCATGATTTTTTAATTGTCTTTTAATTACTTTGGGCTAGTTATCTGTTAAAAGTGGAATTGATAACAAAAAAAATAACATTTACTGTATCTTTATAGACACTGACATTTTGAAATACGGCAGTGTACGATTACTTTGTCGTACAAGGTTGGCAACGCTCCGAGCAGTGGGCGCGGCCAGGTTAGCCACTTTCAGAGTTAGCGAATTCCGCCGCGAGACAAAATCGAGTTAGCAGGTTCCGGAGTTAGCCAATTCCTGACTGAGACGGTTAGCCAGTTCCAGAGTTAGCCAGTTCCGACACACGTTCGAGTTAGCGAGTTCCTGAGTTAGCCAATTCCTACGTCTCTTTCAAACACTATACAACACGTTTTTAGGTTAGGTTTTTAGCCATGAACGGAATGGGAAATACTGCACCAGCTGATTATAGTCGTAGTATCTTTAAGTGTTACTTATTTTCAAGAGTACAGGTATAAACAGTAATAATCAGTATAAAGACATAATAAACAAGTAGATTGTTCTTCAAAATATGCCAATAAAACATTTTCTGACGGTTTTGTAACTTTCTTAAGTTTTTTGCAGCTTTCTGTACTATAAACAGTGCAAGGAAGCCAACTTTGTCGGGTGACTGTTGGATAAGAATATTACAATGTGATCTCTTAAATCAGGTGTGTACCTGGTCAAAGGCCCATGCACCCAATCAGGCACATTTTAAATAAATTACATGGTACAAAAGATTATGTGCTTGACACATAGCACCTCACCTTTTTGCAATCCCGACACACTATGCTGCTGGTGGTGATCACACCAAAGAGAACACACTGAGCTCCACACAAAATACATTGGTTTGTCCCACTGCCAATAGCATTGCGCTTCATATTATCTAACCTGTCCACCAACCTTCTGTAAGCAGAAAAAACTAATAACATGTGAGTAATTTTCTTATCCTTACAACATGAAGTAATAATTCCTACAAAAGATTTATTCTTCAATATTCTGCTTATTTACATGTTCTCTTAAATCACTTAGAGAGCACCACTTTTAATTGAAAAATAGGTTAGATGAAGAGAAAATCAAATAATCTGAGTTCAATTTAATCAGAAGTACTTTTCTATTTTTTTCAATTTATTTTGTATTATTTTTACACTTTCACTATACAATATTTGAGTTATTACTTTATTATTACTTTATATTTAATCTGGCTCTATATTTTGATGTCAATACAATTTTCACTTCTTGTGCATGTAAAGAACTGTATTGTCCGTTAATAGCGTGTTTTTAAAATAATTTCTGTATCCCAAAATTTGTAGTTTCACTTTTTTTGTAATTTTACGCTCAATATCAACACGATATCAACTGGAAGACGGTGACAAATTAAATTTATATATATATATCCACGACTAAAATAATGCATCAATCAAAAATAATATAAGTGTGTAAATTAAGTATTGAAACAAATCTGTATTTTTAAAACCGAAATAGATAGAAATATTCTGTTTGTGGTAATAATTGTTAACAAAAGTTCCACAATTTTTTACATCAAAAATATTTTTTACCCCCCCCCTAACAGCGTAGGGGGTAGGGGGTGACTTATTTTTTTAAAATTACAACCCCTATTGAGTGACCCCTCATTTTGAAGGGTTTGTCAAAATAAACACAATGACGCAAATCCGAGGTGAACATCTCACCCCTAGCCAAAATGACAGGTATTCCAATATGGGTGCTTTTTCACATATATTAAATTTTTGAATACCCACCATTTAGGCTAGGAGTGAAATATCCACCTTGGGTTTACGTCATTGTTTTTCTTTTAACACACCCTTCAAAATTAGGGGTCACTCAATAGGGATTGTTATTAAAAAAATAAGTCACCCCTACCCCCTACCATGTTAAAGGGGTTGAAAAAATATTGTTGATTTAAAAAATTGCGGAACCTATTTTAACAATCAATTCCACAAACAGAATATTTCTATCTATTTCGGTTTCAAAAATACAGATTTGTTTCCAATATTTGTGAAATTGTTGCTTTTTCATATACAGTAAATCAAATTTTGGAATACCTTCCATTTTGGCTAGGGGTGAGATATCCACCTCGGGTTTGCTTCATTGTGATTTTTTTGACAAATCCTTCAAAATGAGAGGTCACTCAATAGGGGTTGCTATTTGAAAAAAATAAGTCACCCCCTACCCCCTACCCTTTTAGGGGGGGGGGGGTAAAAAATATTTTTGATGTAAAAAATTGCGGAACCTTTGTTAACAATTATTGTCACAAACAGAATATTTCTATCTATTTCGGTTTTGAAAATACAGATTTGTTTTAATACTTAATTTACACACTGTATATTATTTTTGATTGATGCATTATTTTAGTCGTGGATATATAATATAAAAAAGTTATATATATTTATGATTTAACTAGAATGTAAGAACATTGTAATACAAAAACATGTAAGAGAATGACACTATTCATGTACTTTGTGCTTTAATGAATAAAGAAATATTGAATTGAATTGAATTGAATTTAATATTATTGTAAATGTAAGTGGTAAGTTCATTTTATTCCTCTATGTGCTTTGCTGGAATTGGAAATATAATTTTAATTAATTGTGATACAGCCAAGGTTAAGCTCAAAGATCAACCATTTTGATAACCAACCAACTTACAATAAATACGATAATTAAGAAATAAATAAATATAAGCAACATGTAATATATTTAACATGTATTAGATTTTGATATGGTATAGCTTTTATCAATAACTAAATTTTGTGAATGGTCAATGTCACTGAAATGGAATTTTTTTAACTGCTATTGGGTAATCATCACACAATAAAATATTGTGCTCCAAGGGGAAAATAGTCAAACATCCATTTATATTTTCTCTGTAGATCAGCGAATAGGAAATTATGAAAATTCTTCTTTAATGGAAACACTGTTTATGCAACATCCAAACATGTGCATCCAATTTGATCTCAAAGGGAATAGGGATATGCAAACTGCATTGATAGGTGAAAATTAATACAAGCTTGTAACTCAGTTCAATATGGGGATAGTTAAGGTGAAGATTGTCTTAATTAGGATGGTATGTAGGGTGGCAGGTAGTGTGAGAGAGATAGAAAACTTGCACTACTATTCTTCCCTTACTTTGAATATGTATATTGTCATAAGATATATCGGTAATTGTTGTAGTCTGTCCATACTCAGAATATTTATATTAAATTATGTATGTCAGCAATTTTTTAGATCACTGTAGAAAATAACGAAAGCGATGGTGATGAGGAAGTTTTCTAATGTGCATCCCCATTCCACTGCCACTCTAACTGATTTGATCTACAAGCAATGCAGAAGTAATCTTCCATATTTGAACTGTTATGCATTTTTATGTTGCCAATTTTATCTGTCAACAAAAGTGTTGCAGTTTGGATAACAATAGAGAAACAAAACAGTGACAAAGAAGCAGCAGTCTCCAGATTTATAGAATCCTTTCCTTCCTGGGAAAGAAAGGATTACAGTATTAAATCCAAGGAAATAATGAGTTAATGAAAAAGTTATAAACAATAAATAAATAAATATAGGCTATGTGTTGTTCATCATAAATAAGTTGGTTTCTAAATAAATCTGTATGGTTCTCTTCATGGTTTGATTATTGTGTACGCGTGTACATTGTAAATACTGTTCACCAGTTCCATTGAATACAAATCTGTGATATTTTTGTCCACTTTTGTAGTGAAGAATCCCCTGAATGATACAGAGAAGTTCTGTTATGATAGGGCAAATTTCAGACACCATGTGTCAGTCACCAAGTCAAAATTCACTTTATAACTGATTGTTGTCTTGACTAAATACAAAGGTAAATTTCTTATTTTGTTAGATTATGAAATAAAATTGACTGTTTTAAATACAGTAGAACGCCGGTTAACCTAACTCGGGTTAACCGAAACCTGGGTTAACCAAAATATTTTGGTTAACCGGGGTTCTACTGTACTGTATTAAATTTTTTTATATTTATCAATTTTATTTTAATTTCAAACATCTTAAAATTATAATCTATGACTTGTCAGTGACCAGTAGACGCCCTCAAACAGTTACAATAAACTCTGTATAGCTTTTATTAGACAGACTTTTTTAATCCAAAAAGAAGACCTGTAATTTTTTATTTCTAAATAGAAGAACCCATACAGCTTAAGGTGGGTTCCAAACCACCAAGCATCTTGGCATTATAACATAGCTAAACCAACTTTAATCAACCACTCTTTAGTGATTGGCGGGATTCGAACCCAGGTCTTCTGAACAGATGTCCCACGTTTCAACTACTAGACGAGTCGCACCCCACCCTCAAAAAGTGATTTGTGTTTATAAATGTACCCTCATAGTCAACAATGTAGTATACAGCAACACATGAGAAAGTATAAATGTAGTGTATGTGTATATTAGAGTGAAAGATTTCTTTTGCTAACCCAACTCTTTCTTGTTCAATGCTCTCCAAAGCCTCTGCCCTTCTGATGACCTCTAGGATGATTTGTTGTTCTGTTTCGTCCAAAGCCACTGATTGTTGACGGTACGTCTGGTTGTGCTGTGTCTTCACTGACCACCCTGCCCCCACTCTGGCAACAGAAAAACACGTAAGAAGATATCTAGAACATCTGGAGTCGGAAGAAAGTATGAGTTTGCTAAGAGATTTTGGCCTTGATTTTAATTACAATGTAGGTCTTCCTCAGATTTCCTATAGCATCTGGAACAAATTTATTGACTGCCAGAGGATTTTGCTTTGACCTCTCATTTTTCTTAATTCTCTTAATTTGAACAAACCTATGTTGTCTAGCCTTCGCTCCAAGTATTGTCAAAGGCTATCAGAGTAAAACATGGTCACAATACCTAAAACTGTTTAATACTACAAAAAGGATTACATGGATCTGCAACTATAAAAATACATTTGGAATTTGTGGAAATAAAGAAAAATAAACACACTTTTTTCTAGATAGAGAACTAGGAGTTTAAGATTGGCTGTGATTGCTGGAACCACTATGTCGGTTAAGTAATTTGCAAGTGAAATTTTTTAAATTCTATATCGCTTTAACATTTTATTCTAATTATAAGATTAATAATATTTATAGCAACCATTAAACATAGCATTTTGTAATATGCTGAATTTTACTAGAAGAACTGAGACACTAGAACTAAAAAATATCATCATAAATCAGTTATAAATTACAATAAATACAATATCTAATTTAAATTCTAAACATGATATGTCACTATTATTTAAAAATCCTTCCTGAGTGTAGAATGGTTTATATTTTTTAAAGTGAGTAATTTGTCTTTTAAATTGCTTTAAAGGCAGTTTATGAAAACAATTGGGTAGCTTGTTAAAAGAACATATTATATTTTATGTAAAATAGCTATTTAAAGATTTTGAAAGTTAGATTAAAGGTGTGACAAAGTTATTTTTGTGCCTCGTGTTGTATATATGAGAATAGCTGTGACATTTTATGGGTTGTTTTTATATAGATTAAGTTACAAAGAATGTACATATATATGACAGGATTAGCAAATTTGAATTAGAAAAGTGCTCTTTGCATTATTCTTGATCTTGAAATACTAGCTTTGTTTTAAGGGCCTTCTTTTTTCATTATTATTCATTAGTTTAATATGTAAAATAGTCTAATAGTACAAATAGTGTTTAAAATATTTCACTGTCACTGTCAGCATTTTCAACCAAGGAATGTTCGAGTTGTAGAGAAAGTTGTCTTCAGGGCCAATGGTAAAAAATGACAACTGTCTCTCGTACTCAAGTGACAGTGAAACATTCCAATTTTATGAGTAAAGTGTAGTGTTTTTGTGCCAGATTGGACTCTTACCCATTCTGGTAAACCTTCCTTCAACACAAAACCCCAAAACTGTGTTGGTTGGTTGTAATCCAAGTAAAGTTGACAGTATTTGTAAATACTTACTTGGCAAGTAGGGCTAGACCCCTGTCGTTTGGACAGACCCATTTTGAGTCTTTGCGTGCACTGTCTAGGTCAACCATGTTGTTCACAAAAATCTCATTTTTGATCCTGCAACACAAAGATATACCTGAAATTGGTGGATCAGTATAAAGTTATAAGCTTAAATAATTAGTGGTCAGTCTATGACTCTCCTAAGTTTATCTGTATTGTTCTTTCTTGGAAAACTATTGAGTCAGAGTCAAAAGTAATGTTGAAAGGGACGAGTGTCTCGAAGTATGTGGCACTACCGACTGAGCCACAGACTTACCATTTAAAATTATTGAGTGCATCGTCTTTTGAATGGTAAATTAACTTGTTGCATTTGATGAATTCCCTAAGTATAATGAATATGAATTAACTTAATTATAAGTGTTTAAAAAAAGAATACATCTAATATGTGAACCTTTTATGCTTTCAGATACTATTTTGAGATGAATTTTAAGAAACAGAAAAGTTAATAACCATCAAAATTATTTAAATTATTTGGTATAAAATAGGATTTCTTTTGTTAAGTAATTTTAATTTGTGAACTGTTTATTAAAATCATAGCTTATAGAAGAAGACTGTCTACTCCTTTAATCTATGCTAAAATTACAGTAAAACAAACACTTTATGGGAAGATATAGGTATTTAAACTTCAGATAGTAATACAAATGTTAAAGTATTAATATTCCAGGAAATAATGTACAAAGGGAAAATGAAATATCATCACTATCAGTAAAATTAAGTATCTTTGAAGTAAAATATGTTTAGGCATTCACAATCAACTGTGACATAAAAATAGGAATGAAATTGACCAACTCACATTACATACCTCATGTATGTACCATTCTAAGCAATTAAAAAGTCTATTATGCTTTCTTTAGCACTGAACAAACTAAATTACTCAAACACACTGTTTTCATTTCATCAGGAAACTCAGAAAACTGAAAATGTCATGGGGAAATAAATCAAATTATGTAAATGACGACATAAAATTTGTGTTTAAAGTGAAAAAGAGATGAACCACTCAATCATTTATCTAATTATAATATTATTTGCATGGATATATCATATACCACAGAATATGACTTCTTTCAGTTTACTGTCCAAAAATCAATGATCATTATTTTCAAACATCATAAAGTTGAAATTATATTATTTTTTTTTTATTTAATACAAATTTATACAACTATTATGTCATGTATGAGCATTGACAATGATAATATGATAAAATTACCAATATGGTTTTGGCAATGGCAGGCATATAAATATTAAGAAACTTTTAGCTAAAACTTATTGTATCTATATAGATATACATGAAATTAAATTAAAATGCTTGATTTTATTGAGGCTAATTTAGGACCTTAAGGTATCTTTTCTTAATTTCAACCTCTCAAAAAAGATTAAATATCATTAGCAATGTAAGGTAAAATGATAAAATTGTTTTAAGTTACTTTTATTTCCCTAACATTCAGTCACACACAAACATTCTCTATGGCAAGTATAAGTTTCTAAAATTATTTTTCTTTTTAACTCATATTTTTAGTTAAAAGGTAGACTGAAAGGAAAAGAACCATGAGATCGCTATGTTTACAGTATTTTCATTCACTCATTATAAAGAGGAAGGATTAAATTCAAGGAATCTGTTGTAAAAGTAGCAAAAGTTTAAATTGATTAGTGAGAACCATTTTATCATATGATAAATAAACTATTTTAATTTTTGTATATATCTCAAAAACATAAAGATCACGTTTATTTTGAAACAAAGTGAAAGCAGGTAAAATTTCAACATTTCACAAAAGCTGTCAAATTATATTGGCAAAGATGTCATACTAGGTGACAAGACTGTCAAAAGCAGACTTTGTTGTAACAAAGGACATCAAAATGTTTATCAATATATGAACACATCCAAGAACCCTAATATAGATCCGCTTCGTAGGATAAATGACAGAAGAGCTAGTACCGCTTTAGTGAAAGGTTTTATTTTTTTTATATTTCTTTTAAAAAGGTTTCTATTAAATCTTTAAGTCATTTTGCTCACATGACCGCTTGGATGTTTCAATTTCTCTGTTAGCCTATTTTATAGCCACGGCTCAGAACATGTGTGATTAAACTTTTTAAAGGTTTTTTATCATTGCTTAAAATATTTTAACACATGTATACCTAACAAAATATGCATTTTAAGATGTTTTATCTTCTGTGGGGATTTTACTTTCCTTCTTTAATCTTTCCTGAATTCTTAAAAGTTTGTTAAATCTTTTCACTCAGTTAAAGATGTTAAAATTAACATATTTATGCGTTAAAATTAACGCAAGGAAAAATAATGTGTCACTCTTATTTTGATTGAGGTGGCAATTTTAATAGGTGAGATTGGCATTTAAATACTGGGCGGTACATATAATTTGTTTAGCTACAAACAACTTTCGAAAACCTCTAAACAAGTTCTAAATACTGTGTTGGAATATACTTTTGAAATACAGTATTAAAACATTATCTTTTGTGTTTAAAAGTTGATGAAATAGAGAGACCATGTTTAAATAAAATGATAACAAAAACATTTCTCCAATGAATAGTTTGATTTCATTGTATGACTCTTTCAAGGTTTTTGTTTTTATATCTGCTTGATGTCTGATCCAACACCAAAAATAAGTTGAAATTGAACCAACCTTACTTGGATGTAATCATTGACTATAAACACTAATATATAATAGTGTATATATAGCCAATGATGTAATGCACTTTACTCAATTGTTTAGACGTATTCAAAAGGTAGGTGCAATTATTGGAAGTATAAACGGGACAAACAGATTATTATTATTGTGGTGTGAAGTATCTAAACTATGGAACACATAGTTTGACTGCATTACCAGCAGAATTGAACAAAATGTCCGCACATGTGAGGCAGGGAATGATTGTTTTTACTGTCTTTGATCAAGTTCTCTTAATTTTTATTTTACATACCTACATATAATTTTACTTTTAAAAATACATTTTTTACCTGATGCTGATATACTGTTCCATTAGCATTAATTTTGAAATTTACCATGGCGGATGATAAGAAAGCCAAACAGTACATATAATGCATGAATTGCACTACATACAATTAAAAAAGATAATTTATTAGTTGGTTAGAAAACAAATCCGATTTCCACTTATCAATAAACATATCATAGAAGTAACATTCAGAAAGAACAAAGAGGGGAGGAGGATGCCAGACCAGTTCTGATGTAGATCAGAGTAAGGGGTCGTTAGGGGTCATCACAGAAACCATAACTGCAGACACTCCAACTGTAGACATCCAAACTGTAGACAATCAAACTGCATAGAAACACAACCAGTAGACACCCAAACTGTAGACAATCAAACTGCATAGAAACACAACCAGTAGACACCCAAACTGTAGACAATCAAACTGCATAGATCTTGAACTGTAGAAACCCAAACTGTAGAGACCCAAGACCCAAACTGTCTAGACATCTAAACTGTAGACAATCAATCTGTATAGAAACACAACCAGTAGACACCCAAACTGTAGACAATCAAACTGCGTAGAACCTGAACCGTAGAGAGACAATCAATCTGTATAGAAACACAACCAGTAGAAACCCAAACTGTATACAATCAAAATGCGTAAACCTGAACTGTAGAAACCCAAACTGTCTAGACATCTAGACTGTAGACAATCAATCTATATGGATACACAGCCAGTAGACACCCAAACTGTAGACAATCAAACTGCGTAGAACCTGAACTGTTGAAACCCAAACCTTTGACTATTAATACAACAACTAGACATTCCATCCCCATGTTAAAATTGTAGCCAGGTTTTTAATAAAATTTGTCTTAGTTGATGTGAGCCACCTACAGATTGCGCTGATCTAAATTACTGATTTCAGCCGATGGCCTGATCAACATGATGGTTTTTACCAAGTCAAACAGATGGAATGACTTATTATGAGCTATAGCAACTGTTGTGACCCAGCAACTATGTCAGTAACAAAAAATAAGGTACAAAATAGAGTTTTAGACACTAGCGCAATCTGTGACTGGCTCACACAACTACATTCTTTTTTAGTAAAAAATTGGCGACAGCTGATCCATATAGATGGGATGTCTTCTTCTGTATCCAATAGTCAATGCCCAAACTGTAGAGACCCAAACTGTAGACACCCAAACTGTAGACAATCAAACTGAGTAGAACCTGAACTGTAGAAACCCAAACTGTAGACATCCAAACTGTAGATATTCAAACTGCGTAGAACCTGAACTGTAGAAAACCCAAACTGTAGACAATCAAACTGCATAGAAACACAACCAGTAGACACCCAGACTGTAGACAATCAAACTGTGTAGATCCTGAACTGTAGAAACCCAAACTGTATACACCCAAACTGTAGACAATCCAAACATGTAGACACCCTATGTATGTTTAAATGTAACCTCTATGTTCTCCTTCTCCGTGACTTAGTCAACTATAACATTTGTACAATACTCTTACTAAACCCGCACTAAAATATAAATTGTTGGAACCAGAAATAAACACAGTAAAAGATATTTGCATGACTAATTTCAGTACATAGTTAAAACTTTTTGTGAAATAATTTTTTGTGAAGAAATGTTTTATATTTAATGTACAATACTATCCTGATTTTTATCCTTTGTTTAAAGTTTTTTTTTCATAAAACTTTAATTTTGAGAAAGTGTAAACAGTATTTTAAATAAAATAGAAATGTAAAGTAATGATTTGGCAGGCAAGAAAATTCTGTGGTCATGGACAGATAAAATGTATGCTTTTAAAAATTTAAAGTATATCACTAAATAAAAGGTGTAGAATAAGTAAGTTTATATGAGGTAATTTTCTTCTTTTAGATGAACTGAATCGTAAATAAGTTTTTGTATGATTAAAATTGCAGTAAAATAAGTTAACAAAGTTTCATTGATGTATAAACACCATCAGGGATGATTTAGTTTATTCCAAACCCAACCAAATAAATATTTCTTTTCTTCTTCATGTCACAATAGTACACAATTTCATAAAGATCAGACCCATATACATTCTGGACTCGATGGTAATTTATACATGCGTG